CCTCTCCAATTTATGTTATCTTCTTCCAGTTAGAATTCCAATCCACAATATCAACACATTTATTCATTTGTTCAATCCTGTGATATATTTTAGTTTCCCATTGCTTCATTTATACCACTAAATAAACAAACTTACTAAAGAGTTCAGGATTTGTTTTCACTTTTACTTCCCATCACTGTCCCAACATACACCCTATCCTTCTCAAGACTGAGAGTGCATAGTGAAATACTGTGTTCATAAGTTATTTCAGTTAGCTCTTCTTAGTCCTACCCTCCACTCCCCTTCCCAGGCTGGTTCTGGTATTCATTAGAAATACTACAGTTAGGTTCATTTGTTTCTATTTCTTATTTATTTATTTATTTATTTGTTTGTTTGTTTGTTTTAAAGACTTTATTGCCTTGATTCTATTTTGTTTTATATATATATATATATATATATATATATATATATATATATATATATATTTCTTTCTTTATTGGTTTCAGAGAGGAAGGGAGAAGAAGAGATAGAAACATCAATGATGAGAGAGAATCATTGATCGGCTGCCTCCTGCACACCCCCACTGGGGATTGAGCCTGCAACCCAGGCATGTGCCCTTGGCCGGAATCAAACCTGGGACCCTTCAGTCCGCAGGTTGATGCTCTATCCACTGAGCCAAGCTGGCTAGGGCTCTATTTCATTTTTAGCTTCTTCCCTTTTCCAATTCTTTTTTTTTTTTTTCCCTTTTCCAATTCTTGTTTTAAAAAATATGTAGCATATTAATATGCTCTCAAAATAAAAATATTATAAAAAAGTATAATCAGCCTGGCTGGAGTGGCTCAGTGGTTGATCATTGATCTATGAACCAGGAGGTCACAGTTCAATTACTGGTCAGGGTATACGCCCGGGTTGCAGGCTCCATCCCCAGTGTGGGGCGTGCAGGAGGCAACCGATCGATGATTCTCTCTCATCATTGATGTTTCTCTTTCTCCCTCTCTGAAATCGATAAAAAAAAATATGTATTTTAAAAGTATAATCAGAAAAGTATCACTTCCTCCCAAATCCCTTCCACTCCATTCCTCACCTGTTAAAGTTAACCAACTTCACTATGTTCTGGGTTATCTTTCCATTGTTTCCTTTTTGAGAAGCAAATTATAGACGTTTTTACTTCCCTTTTATTTTTCTTACACAAACTATGTGTATGATCTTTTGCACTTAACTTTTCACTTAACATCTCCTATTTCATAACAGTTTATAGAGATTATCCGGTTTTTGACAGCTGCAGAGCACTCTATTGTATGTGTACCGGTTTATCCAACCAATCTTCTATGCTTGGGCATTTAGTTTCTAATATTTTGCAATTACAAATAATGCTATAATGAATAAACTTATGCAAATGTATTTTTGAGGTGTATCTCCTAGGTAAATTCCTAGAGGTGTGTTTGCTGGGTGAAGAATACACGCGTATGGAGTTTTGCTGTATACTGCCAAATTCTGCTTCACAGGTTGTACCATTTTGCATCCCCACCACCAATGTAGAAGAGTGCCTGTTTCCCACAGCTTTGCCAACTGAGTGTAGACTTAAGTTTTGAATTTTTGCTAATCTGTTGGGTGAGGAATTGTATCTCAGTGTAGTTTCTGTAAAATACATTTTTATTGATTTCAGAGGAAGGGTAAGAGATAGAAACATCAGTGATGAGAATCACTGATTGGCTGCCTCCTGCACACCCGCCACGGGGAATGGAGCCTGCAACCCGGGCATGTGCTCTGACCAGGAATTGAACCGTGACCTCCTGGTTCATAGGTCGACGCTCAACCACTGAGCCACGCCAGCCGAGCCACTTTCTCATCCTTTTACTTTATTTTATTTTAATATATTTTATTGACTTTTTACAGAGAGGAAGGGAGAGGGAGAGGGATACAGAGTTAGAAACATCGATGAGAGAGAAACGTCAATTCAGCTGCCTCTTGCACACCCCCTACTGGCGATGTGCCGGAAACCAAGGTACATGCCCTTGACCGGAATTAAACCGGGGACCCTTGAGTCCACAGGCCCATGCTCTATCCGCTAAGCCAAACCGGTTAGGGCTTCTCATCCTTTTAAAAGGGTTATTTTTCTTTAGCTTTGTGATTGCTTTGGGGGAGACATTTATCATCAGAAAGGCTTTAATTTACATTTTTGGATTTTTTGCAATAGTTTTGTATGTGTGTGGACTACTATACACTCTACTCTAAATAATCTCATGGACAAGAATTCTTCGTTTGAGAGCCCTTATCTGTGTCCACCCTCTTCTGTGCAGTTTAAGGACTTGTTGGTGAGGGTGGGAGGATCAATATAAAGTGTCCCAAAATTCACACAAGAGGTAATTTTGATAGAAAACAGGTTTATAATTAAAAATTGTAAATTTTTTATTGATTCATAAAGTATACAGTATAGGGTTATGTATGGAATAGCATATCGGATAAATGGCCTCCACGGCTTTGCTGGCACATACGCACCCTTTTGTTGAAATTTTCCATGACCGAAAAGCGGCTGCTCAGGCAATAACAGTTAATGGTGCTCGCTATCGTGGCATGATAATCCAGTTTTTTGTGCCGTGGAGGACATTTACCCGATATGCTATTCCATACATAACCCTATACTGTATACTTTATGAATCAATAAAAAATTTACAATTTTTCATTATAAACTTGTGTTTTCTATCAAAATTACTTCTTGTGTGAATTTTGGGACACCCTTTACCTTGTTTCTCTTTTCTGCCAGTCTCACATTTCATCCTTTTCCTTTCACTATCTCTTCATGTCTGTATCTCCCAATTCTCCCCCAGAAACACCACTTCGATGAGGCTCTTGTTCTTGGTCCCCCCCATTTTCAAACCTTTTCCTGAAATGAGGGGAATGATCTACCAAGTCCCAACCTGTGTTCAATAGTTTGCATTTATGTCACTTTTTCTTTCCTATAGATTCTGCCTGTGCTTCCTCTAAGTCTTCTATTCCATTCTGCTGATCCACTAAGTGATTTAACCTCATTCCACATTCTCAACACCCACAAGCTTATGGTGGTAGCAAGGTCCCTACTGTAAAAGTTGTTTTGTACTTATAGGCAATTTGTATTCTAGTAATGAAGGCATGAATCCTGTGTAGTTTTTATTTGTTCTACTTGATTTTATGGTTGTTTTGGGAGAATGAGGGGCATATTTGTAATCAGGCTACTGCCATTGTTTCCTCAGCTGCTTTCTGCATGCCCCACATTGGGCATGTGCCCTGACTGGGAATGGAACCGTGAACTCCTGGTTCATAGGTCAATGCTCAACCACTGAGCCATGCCAGCCAATATGCTTTTTTTTTTTTTTTCAAATATATTTTTTATTGATTTTTTACAGAGAGGAAGGGAGAGAGATAGAGAGTTAGAAACATCGATGAGAGAGAAACATCGATCAGCTGCCTCCTGCACATCTCCCACTGGGGATGTGCCCACAACCCAGGTACATGCCCCTGACCGGAATCGAACCTGGGACCCTTCAGTCCGCAGGCCGACGCTCTATCCACTGAGCCAAACCGGCCTCGGCCAATATGCTTTTTAAAATAGACAGATACGCCCTAGCCAGTTTGGCTCAGTAGATAGAGCGTTGGCCTGCAGACTGAAGGGTCCCAGGTTCGATTTCAGTCAAGGGCATGTACCTTGGTTGCGGGCACATCCCCAGTGGGGAGTGTGCAGGAGGCAGCTGATCGATGTTTCTCTCTCATTGATGTTTCTAACTCTCTATCCCCTCTCCCTTCCTCTCTGTAAAAAAAATCAATAAAAAAAAATATATAAGGAGTATGCATATGATAGATCTGAATCTATGGTTAATAATAAAGTTTCCTGCCCTGGCCACTGTGGCTCAGTTGGTTGAGTGTTGTCCCATGCACTGGAGGGTTGCCAGTTCTATTCCTGGTCAGGTCTCATGCTTAGGTTGGGGGCTCAATCCCCAGCAGGGGGAGTGCAGGAAGCACCCGATAGATGTTTTGTTTTCACAGCAATGTTTCTCTCCCTTCCTCTCTCTCTAAAAATCAACTTAAAGAAATAATAAATTTCCTTTGTAAAACCTGAACTTCTATAGTACTCTATAGTAGACAATTTCAAAATGATAGAAAGGATACCTGACAGATAACATCTGACATGATTTGAAATTTTCAGAGTAAGTCCTAAACTAAATAAAAGGGTTTAAACATACTTTGTCAAAAGCGTTCAGCTCTAGCATTTAATAGCTGAGCCTCAATTTTCTCTTTTGTAAAACAGAGAAATACCTACCTTATAGGGTTGAGGATTGAAAATACTGTACAAAAATTAAGTTACACAGCACACGTCATGATTTCATTAAACATAGCTATTTAGCAAAATTTACACTTATAAAGAAAAATAAAACCTATACCAAACATTCATAAACTATTAATTTAGCAGCTAAATGAGCCAACGAATACTTCTAGTTACCCCTATCCAGTTGACAGCAAATCCCTCTGATCTGCCTAGTTCATCCTATTTGTTACTCTCTGTTGCTAACCTTTTCCTCAAATTTGAACAAAAGCCTTTAGATCTCTCCATTTTCTTCAAGATAATCAAACTAGAGTAAAATTTAGTTTCTATATTTTACTTCTTTCAGATCTTGATTTTGAAAAGGGATTCGATTTAGAACAAAAGCTTTGTGTCCCTTTTAAAGGAATTTTAGAAATCACATGATTAAAGAATAAGCAAATGACTTGCAAAGTAGCAGCTGCTGTCAAGGGGCTTCTGCAGTTTGAAAAAATATTCTAAAAATTACCATTTTTTGTCACAATATTTATTTTGAAATTCCAAATAATACTAAAATAAGAATGTGTTTTTAAATATATATGTATTAAAAGAAGGTGTAAGTAAAAAATTAAACACTGACCTAGACTTTTGTGGAACATAAAACTGTAACCTTTCACTATTTTGCTGTGCTTTACTAAAAAATACAGATGGCACAGCTCTGATATAGCTTTAACAACTTGATTATAAATTGCTTTCAAAAGTAATTTATTTGGATTTTCCATATCCTTTAATGAGTTGCAAATATATTAACAAAAGACTCCCCCCCCCCAAGACTGTACAATTTCTGAAATAAATCAGGAAAAGCAAAAAGAAGACACAAAATTACATTGTTTCAATGCAAATAGAACACACACATCACACCCACACTTGCATTTTCCCAGGTTTTCACAAAGAAAATGGGTCACTATATTTCTCAATGAAGATCCATACTATACTCTGGCTAATCAGAGACTTCCAAACTTTTTTCTTCAAAAAGAGCATTTTTAATAGACTAAATACTGGTTATCACTGAGTTTTTGTTTAAGGTACAACAGCAGCATGGTTCAAATATTACTTGCAGTTCTTGGGGGGAAAAAAAATTAAAGTAATGAAATACAGAAAATGTAGGGACCACCTTTCATTATTTTGAGTACCATTGTTCTCTTGAAAAATTATTTTCACCTTTTAAAATCCCAGAGTTAAGAACCATTTCCAAGGGTGAAAAATATCCAATGCCACAACATAACTTCTGAACAAAAGTATGTGTGTGTGTATATATATGTATATGTGTGAAAAACTTAGAGAGAAAAAAAATGTTGAAGTACTTAGTATTTTTTAATTTCCTTCAAAGTAACTTCTGAAATTCGAAGCAAACATTTTGCTTGGTCAAAATGTGCGCTTTGTTCTGGTTGTTTGATCACCATTTCATGTGGGGGTGAAGTAGAAGCCAGAAACAGTTACTAGGTGGGTAATAAGGCTTCAAATATCTAAATGACTTTGAAAGTAAGTATGAGGAAAAATAAAATCAGGCCAAGCTTGGGCTGAGTGTCCTCAGTCAACTATTGCCATGGTGTGCCTTCCATGACTATCCTTTTATTCTTGTCTCAAAATTAGTACCAGAAAGACTCAGACTCACCTCTGGCACAGGACATAAATTCCTACTACCAAAAGATAACTAATTAAATATCAGCAAATTATTTTCTGAGCTTACTTTTCACTAGGTTTTATAACATGGAATTCAGGTTGGAGCTTTCTAAGAAACTGGTATTTGATGTTATACAGCTGGCTTTTGATTTGCCAATTAAAAAGGGTAAAAGGATATAAAATTAAATATTACAGAACTAAAGGATAATGAAACAGAATATTTATTAGATTCAAGTGCTGGCCTTTGGAATTTTTAATGATTATTTACTACCAACCTTTCCTTTTTCTTATAAATTGATTTTTAAGTAGCACATATACATAGACTTAGGTAGGAAATTTTGTTAAATACCTTTCTGGCACCCAATACCTAACTGAGACTCCAACTTGAATTATTTTATAATAGTATCTAATCCACATTTAAATGAGTAGATTAAGTAAATGACAGGAAATTACTGAGTCTGCAGGTTAAATTTTTTTCACATCTTCGGTAATCTACCTCATTTTCACAGCTTGACTAATACAGGTAACCAGTAGATAAGTTTGTCCTTCATCAAATAATCCAAAATAATAACTGTAGGCCTGTCATTCATAGGGAACTATAATTTGTTATATTCTGACATTGGCACTTAATAAAATGTTAACAACTAAGGTTTCTCTAAAAATTTCAATACATTACAATAAAGGAGATACACAATTTAAGACTTTTAAATCTGTTACTGTGAAATTCCAATAATTCCCATTTTATTACACATAATTAGGTCTTTAAAACTGTGGCCATTGCCCAAAGACACCAACCTATATTATGACAAACTCAGGAGAGAACATATCTCCTTCATAAGAACTTTTTTTTTCCAGCTAAAAATTTCTAATATCCTAAACCCAACCACTCTCAGTCAATGTTTGGTGATTCACATTACTGAAAATAATTTGAAGCAGAGAGAACCAAAAAGAATGGAAATGACCTCAACCAAAGGTGAGTATACATTCTTGCACCCTGCTTAAACACTTAGAAAAATCAAAGGGATACTGTCTTGAACAAATATAGATTCAAGGTTATGGTACAATTCTGATTGTATTAAGGCTTTCGCTATTGTGATCTCTTAAAGTCTCTCTACTTTAGTGTTCTCATTTTTATTCCTATGATGAACTTAAATGGTTATTAAGGGTCTTGTTTTGGCTTTTCAGTGGGCAACCACTCTATCATCTCTGAATGTTAAAGGTGATCCCACAAAGCTCAGAGAAGAGGCAATATGGTAAGGACCAACTTTAAAGTTTGCGATACCGACAACAATGATCAACACTTTGATGCAAGATGAATAAATTAAATTTCTTGGTTAGACATTAAAGCATTCTTGCCAAGAATAAGTGTACACTGTATAGAGGGATATTTGATTCCTAAATATGAGTCCCAATATATCCATTACATTTGTTTACGGGAGACACTGCAAGTTTAAGGTAATTTACATTCCTTGGCAATCAAGTTATTCTGTTATAGGCAATGTCTTTTATTGTTCCATCTGGCACTTTCTAACACCATTCTTGAAGAACCTAGAAATGAAGGTCAGTCACTCTGTTTATCAGGAACAGAACCAAATAAAACAAAATTCTGGAAAATGACCAAGAAATTCTGGTTCATCACTATTTTCCATATCTAATGGTTCCTTCAGATAAAACACAACTCTTCCTTCCATGATAGTTTTCCAGCAAAGGGAGATTAAAGAAAAAAGAAAGTTCCCCACCCTACCCCCTAAATTGTCATTCATACTGGTGAAGGAGCCAGTCTTGTTAGCAGCTAAATATTGCACTGCCTTTCATTCTGTGTACAGTCAGGGTCCAATGAAAGTGGCATAATGATGGTGTAAGTCATGGATGATGACACTGCCGGCTCAAGAGTGAAGACTCAGTATATGGAAGGACAAGAAACATGTCAGCACTAATCACACGTCCAGTTGTAAAAGTCTGATTTGCAGAAGTTAAAATTCATCACTTTCAGCTGCATGAAGCTGTGTGTCGTCCGCATCTGTCATGCTGCTCTCCTGGGATTCATCAGTTCCCACTTAAAAAAATAAAACAAAAAGTCTATAGTAAGGTGTCTGACAAATATTTCTTGTTGTTCATGAAAACAAGAAAAACTACTGTAACTCAGAGATATGAGACTTTAAAGGTCCTTAAAAATCCCAGTATCCTTTTAAAAAAAAGGATCCCGATATCCTTTAATAAGATATAATTCAAGCTCCTTATTTTACAGCAAAGTCTGAGATTAGTTTATTGCATTTAACCTTTAGTTAGAGTTTTACTAGTAACTACTAAAACTACCTCTCCCTAAGGAATTCCTCATTCTTACCTTAGGAATTAGAACTAGTTTTCTGAGGCATTAAAAAAAGATTAAGATTTTCTTCACTTTGGGGTTAGTCCCTGCTAGTCCACAGAAATATAAAATTTAAAATTCAGTTTTAAAAGGGTTATTGGGATTATAGAAATTATAATTTTAATCAAAGCCTTTCACCAAGTTTTTTGGAACAAAGGCATCTTAGTTCATCTCATCAGAAGTCACTCAATTTTCTTATTAAAGAATGTTGTCACATTAAGTCTTGGTTCTTCACTGGTTATTTTAAGATATACATTCAATTTAGGGATAGAGTATTTACTGCCTTAAACTATAATTCTTTTGTTCCCTCCTCTTTTCTTGACCTGGATTTTGAATTTGCCAGAGCTACCCAGAATTTGAATAGCCACTACTAAAGGTCTGTCGATAACTTAAAATGTGCACAAATTGATTATTCATTCACATAGCACTTATGTTTTCAACATACCATCACATCTATCATCTTCCCTTCCCCACCCCAAACACATTCCTAGAAAGCAATAAGACAGGCATTAGTTACATATTACAATATAAACCAGGGCCCAGGTAAAAATAAGCAATGAAACTAGTTATCTGACTCCATATGTACTTTCTTATTTTATCATCCTGTCCAATTTCCCTAAAATTCCATTTAGTACAAAGAATATACCATAGTTAGAAAAATAAAATTAAAGAAACATCTTAACTCTGATGTGGTGTTTCACTGGTTCTCTGGTTTGAGTAACTGTAAACAAACCTAATTCATATGGACAATACTCACTGATCTGTTCTTCTTGGGTTATTGGCTCCTCATCATCTGGAAGGTAACGCTTATCAATTGCCTCTTTAATCTGGTTATTGGCTCCTTTAGGATCTAAATCCATAGCCCAAGAGAAATTCATCAGGGCGAGGTGTGTCTGACCTAACTTCTTGTAAACCTAAAAATAAACAGCAGCACTACATTTTTCATTAAGTTATGAGCTTCAACTGTAAAATCCTAAAAATTTATAATTTAAATTAGGCTCCTGATTTATATACTATAAACCCATTCTGATGACTAGGACATTTAAATCCTATAGAAGAAAGAACTCATGTCAACTTTTGAGTTCCTTTTAATATATTCAGATACTACTTTTAGAATTCCTTGCCTATATCTCTTAAATAGTGAGATTCCAATAAAATCTTGCTCTAAATGGAACAATGACAATGGAAAAAAAATGGACTATAAAAGCTTGATTAGCATTCATTTATACTGGTTTTTAAAAGAAGTTATTTTAACTCTCAACATCTACCCATTGTTACCAACTACCTTAACTAACTGGCATCTGGAAGCCCAGTCTGTACTGTCATGAATTTTCTTCTTTTGGTAAGTGTTTTATTGATAATTGGAAGCTCAGGGCTTTCTGTAAGGTAGTCTCAAGTTATGAATTCATTACTGGTCATTGGCTACAAGTGCTAATAAACTTCCAAAGCGATAGTAGGGTTAGAATTATGGGATGTATGTACTTGCCCATTCATTGGGATATTATCTTTTTTTTTTTTTTATTTTTTTTTTTAATATATTTTATTGATTTTTTACAGAGAGGAAGGGAGAGAGATAGAGAGCCAGAAACATTGATGAGAGAGAAACATCGATCAGCTGCCTCCTGCACATCCCCCACTGGGGATGTGCCCACAACCCAGGTACATGCCCTTGACCGGAATCAAACCTGGGACCTTTCAGTCCGCAGGCCGATGCTCTATCCACTGAGCCAAACCGGTTTTGGCGGGATATTATCTTTTTAAATGTTAAAACTAAATCCATTCTTTATTCCCAGAGCATTTAGTTCAGAACTCTAGTTGAATTTGCTCCATAGATGTTGCACAATAAGCATTATATTTATTCTCCAAAAGTTAATACTTGTTATCAAAGCCACAGTAGGACCATGGCCCCAATCTTTACCTTTCCTATTAAGAAGTACACAAGGGATTCTTTGGGAACAATTTGTTTCAATTCTTCAAGTTCTTGTAAAGCAGACTGAAAAATGCAAAGGAAAACAACATCATCTTAACTAAAGCTTAACTTAAGCAATACAAACCCGAAGACTATTAAGACATATATCTCTTACCTTATATTTTTCATTTGCAAATAAAACTGAGGCTCTGTGAAATTTGCATAGTGGGTTCTTAGGATCAATAACAATGGCTTTGTTTAGGGTATCCAAAGCCTTCTCAGATTTTTTCAGTGCATGCTGAACCTGTAAGAAATAAAGACCCTAACTGATGTTTCCTTCCAATATATATATGGCTAATATGCAAAGTGTCCCCTTGGGAGTTCGACCAGGAGTTTGATCACTCGCTATGACATGCACTGACCAACAGGGGGTGGCACGGAACGAAGGAAAGCTGGGGCCAGCAGCTTGGGAAGGAAGGCCCTGGCCAGCAGCCAAAAGGTCCTGATCATCCCTGATCGCCAGCCAGGCCCAGGGACCCTGCCCATGCACGAATTTCATGCACCAGGCATCTAGTATATATATATATATATATATATATATATATTTTTTTTAATTAATTTCAGAGAGGAAGGGAGAGGGAAAGAGAGATAGAAACATCAATGATGAGAGAGAATTATTGATTGGCTGCCTCCTGCAAATCCCCAACTGGGGATCAAGCCCACAATCCAGGCATGTGCCCTGACTGGGAATCGGACCATGACCTCCTGGTTCATAGGTCGATGCTCAATCACTGAGCCATGCTGGTTGGGCTCCTTCTAATATTTTTGAAGAAAAGTGAGACCCAAATAATGTGACTCAAAATCAACAGAAGACAATAAAACTATTAGAGATAAGGTTGTATTGTCCCACCAGATGGTTCACTAGGTTAAGTGAATTTAGTAATTGGTTACTAAACTGTTAGATTATCTCTAAAAATCTCCTTCAAGCACTTTACTTTAAAGATGAGAATACTACAGTCCAGAGATGTTAAATAACTTGCTCTGGAATCAGAACCTAGCTCCTATGGTGCCCAATTCACCATTATGTATCCATAATGATAATTAAAATCCTAATTTTAGAGAAGACATTAGGTTTACCTTTAAATCTAAAAGGCAAGAAAAACTTCGGTTTTTCCTTCATAAGAATTTCTGCACTATTTAGCTAAATACTCACATTTCAACAGGTCTATTTATGGTCCTAAGTATTAGGCTTTTTAAAACTGTTTAAAACCATTAGAAGATTTGGCTCTAAACCTTACTAAACTTGTTTCACTCAAAACTATTACATTTTTAGCTATTTTAGGAATTTATTATAAAAATAATTCTTCTGTCTTACATACTTGAAAACCATTGATCTGTAATACTAGGGAATAAATTATTTATTTTAAATAACTTAAAAAAACAAAACAAAACACCAAGCCTCACTATTCATTCATGAGTAGATACTTATATTCTGTTGTGCTCCTCCTTGGATGAATTCTATGTTAGAAATAAAGTGGAGTGAATGGATGCGGCTGTGGAACAAATATCACTGTAACGAGAATGTGAGAGTAGCTACTGCCAACATCTAGTTGCTAAATTCATCTATGTGATGATCTTTGCAGAAGGTTATTACTACATGTGGCCAAATACTCTGCTCACAGGATCGAAATCCTAAATACTAGTTTTCTAAGAGAGAAAAGCACACTCTCTTATCTGAAAACCTCTTCCAATAAACCAACTCAAAATGTTAAAAACCATCTCTTCCACAATAACTTTAGAAAAAAGCCCATTTTATTTTTTTAAAAAATATATTTTATTAATTTTTTACAGAGAGGAAGGGAGATAGAGAGTTAGAAACATCGATGAGACAGAAACATCGATCAGCTGCCTCCTGCACATCTCTTACTGGGGATGTGCCCGCAACCCAGATACATGCCCTTGACCGCAATCGAACCTGGGACCCTTCAGTCCGCAGGCTGACGCTCTATCCACTGAGCCAAACCGGTTTCGGCTAAAAAAGCCTATTTAAAAAAAAAAAAAAAAAGTCCGCCCTAGCTGATTTGACTCAGTGAGTAGAGTGTCGGCCTGCGGACTGAAGGGTCCTGGGTTCAATTCCTGTCAAGAGCACATGTCAGGGTTGCAGTCTCAATCCCCAGTTGGGGGAGTGCAAGAGGCAGCCAATCAATGATTCTCTCTCATCACAGATGTTTCTATCTCTCTCCCCCTCTCCCTTCCTCTCTAAAATCAATTAAAAAAAAAAAAAAAGTCCAATTTTACTAAAGGTTATCAAGAGATACTCAAATTTGATTTCCTCATGTTAAGTGTTGAAAATAATTTTTATGTCAATATATTTTCTCTATATTTTTGTATAGTGTCTAACTATAAAAGTTATCATGTCAATTTTAAAGAAAATTCCAAAGAACTAGAATTATTCCCCAAAATGAATAGTAAAATTCCAAAGAACATAATTTCCTCATATTGTATGCCCAGTTCCACAAAACCAAACTTGTTGAGAGAAAGATAAAGGGGTGGGGGAGGAAAAGACAGAGGAGAAAGGATTGAGGGCAAGAACAAAAAGTTAAGGTATTGTACTTAATAGAGAAACTAATAAATGATATTTTAATAAACAAACATAGCCCTGACTGGTTTGGCTCAGTGGATAGAGCGTCGGCCTGCAGACTCAAGGGTCCCAGGTTCGATTCTGGTCAAGGGCATGTACCTTGGTTGCAGGCACATCCCCAGTAGGGAGTGTGCAGGAGGCAGCTGATCAATGTTTCTCTATCATCGTTGTTTTCAACTCTCTATCCATCTCCCTTCCTCTCTGTAAAAAATCAGTAAAATATATAAAAAAAAAACCACACAAAAAAACCAAACATACCTTCTCTCCTATCAAAATACAACATTAAAAAAATATATATATATAAATATAAAATTGGTGATCCACATTGCCTTATAAGAATTTTTGGCTAAAACATAGGAAACCATTTGCCTTAGAATATTAATTACTTAATTTAGAGCTAAATATTAACATGAAAAAGTACTTACAAGCCCTAATTCTTATTATAGCAATCAAGTCAATAAGAAACACATTTCAAAAGGGAGACTGAACAATGTTTAGAAAGCTACTTACTACTCCAATGTGGCAAAGTAAAACTGAACTTTGAGGGTTGATATCAAGTGCTTTCTGGAAATGCATTTCTGCAAGGCTGAATTTTTCTTGCTTATAATAAATCATTCCTAAACCATACCTGAAAGTATAAAAGCATAATTTTAGGGATATAAAATATGGTGGCTAATTTAGTTCAACTAATAAAAGAATTATGTATGGAATTTAATAAACCAGTAGAAAAATAGAAAAATCATCAAAGCATTTTAGACAAGGCATTTTTACAAGTGATAACAATAAAATCAATCAATCAATCAATCAAATAAAACTATGACAATGTGGGGGGTAAGAGGGGGAAGAAACCACATCCTTAAACCATGTCCTTAAGCCAATCAAGATTTAATAGCTGCTTTTTAATGAGTGGTTATTATGTGTGTGCCAATCAATAACTTTGTTAAATTCTTCACATAAATTATCTCATTTAATCCTAGGGGGAACCAAGGAAATTAGTACTGTTATCATTCACATTTTCAAGTAAGAAAACTGAGGCTTAGAAAAGTTAACTTGTCCAAAAAATATACCTAATAAGAATTTTAACCAGATTCTTCTGATTCTAAACCCTAAACTCCTTACAATGCTATTTCCATATTCTTAGTCCAAATATGTATGTATTTTATATAATTACAATATGCATAGTGTCATGTTCTGCTTCTCTCTTTCCACTTACTATATCAAAATCATGCTCCTATAGACTTCAAAATTATAATTTTTAATAATATAATAATAAAAGTATATAATTATAAAATTATAATTATATAATTTCATGCTCCTATAGACCTCAAAACTATAAATTTTAATGACTATGTAATGACATATTAAGTTGATATAGAGGTATTTCTCCTGAATTTTCAAAACATCAAATGATGGGGGAATAAGGACACATATGTAATACCTTAATCAATAAAGAAAAAAAAAATCAAATGAAAACAATGTGACTGATTTACATTAAGGAAACTCTCTTGACTATAACTAAATGATGATGATGGGGAATAAGCACCAAATGAATAAGAAGAAAATCATACTGTATCTGCTTTAAGTGGCTTTGTTGATCACATAATGGTATTAGAGGTAAAGGAAGGGTATAAAAAGCTCTGTTCTTTTTTTTATAATTTTTTAAATATATTTTAAAAATTGATTTCAGAGAGGAAGGGAGAGGGAGAGAGAGAAACATCAATGATGAGAGAGAATCATTGATTGGCTGCCTCCAGCACGCCCCCTACCAGAGATTGAGCCCGCAACCTGGGCATGTGTCCTTAACGGGAATCAAACCTGGGACCCTTCAGTCCACAGGCGGACGCTCTACCCACTAAACCAAACCGGCTAGGGCAAAAGCTCTGTTCTTTTTTTTCTTTTTTTAAAATATATTTTATTGATTTTTTACAGAGAGGAAGAGAGAGAGATAGAGAGTTAGAAACATCGATGAGAGAGAAACATCGATCAGCTGTCTCCTGCACATCCCCCACTGGGGAAGTGCCCACAACCCAGGTACAAAAAGCTCTGTTCTAATAATGGTGAAGGTGGGGATAAGAAAAGATTATTTACTTTGGAGTTTGAATAATAAAGGTCTACCTCCCTAAACATTCCTTCTTTTTCCCAAATGAAACAATTATTTTTACAACATGATTTTTGATATGGTAAAGTTTTTTTAAGAATAAAATATAGCAGAACAGACACTACACATCTTAAAAAAAACAACCAAGTCCTATTAAGAACTAAATTCTTAAAATATTAGAGAACTTTATATTTATATGACGAAAAGTCAATGTTGGAAAGGCCTGACTGTTTAATATACCAGCGGAAGCTAGCACTTATCAGGCCAGCTTACAAGCAATATTGACTATTTAGAAATGAGATAAAATTCATTAAAAATATACATAAATCAAAAACTATTTTAGGAATCTAGTGCTTCTGATTTAGTGAGAAACAGAATAAAATTCAACTGCTATAATGATTAACCCAAAAGATAAAAAACACAAACATGTCTGACAAAAACTATCACAGAATTACAATACCAAAATAACACTTCTTGATATTTGAACTATGAAGTCAGTTAAGAAAAACACAATAAAACATCAACAGTAAATATAGTGCTGAGGCAGAAATAAGAACAAACTCTCCCATGTTTTCTTCGTTTGATAACAATATATGCCAGGTAGTAATTTCCTATTTGTCTACTTGTGTACAAGTACAAAAAAGTAAAACCTGCCCGGCCGGAGTGGCTCAGTGGTTAAGTGTTGACTTATGAACTAGGAGGTCACAGTTCAATTCCCGATCAGGGCATATGCTCAGGTTTGTGAGCTCGATTCCCAGGGTGGGGCATGCAGGAGGGAGCTGATCAATGATTCTCTCTCATCATTGATATATCTATCTCTTTCTCCCTCTCCCTTCTTCTCTGAAATCAATAAAAATATATTTTAATAAAAAAAGTAAAACCTGAGTTCTTAATAAACTTAATTAACTAAAACTAGTACTTAATAAACTAGAATACTACCAAAGATTAACAATTAGTATATAGTTTCAATGCTTATATTCTACTATCCAATGGATGAATTATACTATTTTTCTTCATTTTTCATCCTAATCACCATTTTAGGCTGAGTGTTTAGCCTGTATCAGGCTGAGTGTTCTAAAAAAAAAAGTAACAAATCAAAGTAACAAAATCAATTATTTGCAAAAGTCTGATAGGAGGAAAGGTTGAAACTGCTGAGGATAAGGACCTAGTATTCTATTATGATTAGTTAATAGAAGAGTTAAAGGTATAAACTTCACACAAAAAACATTTTGGTTAGATGTTACCAACCAGTATGTACCACTCTTAAGTATTAGTAATCAAATTCATGACAACAGAGAGCTATCTAATAAGAAAAAATCACTAAATATCAGCCCCATTAATAAGACATTGTCTTTGCACTTCATTAGCACTTACCATGCATTATAATGTCTAGGATTGACTCTGATAGCATTTCGAAAACAAGCTAATGCTTTGTCTAATTCTTCAGTTAAGACAAACTCATGCCCTAATAGAGTATAGGCATAAGCATAATTTGGATCAACCTGGATAGCTCTCTGGAAGAATTTAATTGCAATATCATGTTCCCGTTGCAAACTGAAACAGTTCCCTGCAGCACACCAGGCCTTAAAAATATGGAAAAAAAACACACAAATGCACAATTAAATTTTTGTTTTATTTTTTCTAACAAATCTATGGCTAAAATTAGAACAGAAAGATACAAACTGAACAGTTTTAACAGATATAGTCAATCCTCATTATTCACGGATTCCGTATTTGCAAAATTGCCCACTTGCTAAAATTTAAAAACCCAAACCAATAAGTTGCAGTGCTTTAATAGACCCAAAATATGGGTTGCCCAACAAGTATATTCTCAGTTGAGGTAAAAAAGGGCAACTCTCTACCTTATTTTCACAGGTCAGTGACCAAAAGACAGAGACCATGGGGGGTGGTGGGGGGGCAGTGTATGAAGGGCTCGGATTCTGGGACCAGATGGACAGTTTGAATCCCACCTCTGGCACCTGTTTGTATGGTGGCCTCAGAAAGGCACCTTAACACTTCTGCACCTCATTTTCTCTTTTGTAAAATAAACAGAATGTATCAGGCTGAGTTGTTTTTAGGATATAAGATTATAATCTATAATCAGGGTAGGAGCATGTGCACACATGTGCGCATGTGTTTATTTCTCCAAAGAGCAATGGTTCAGTATATGCTAACTCATTGTTCTTGAAGACTAGCCTATATAATAAAAGGCTAATATGCATATTGTCCCCTCAACTGGGAGTTCAACTGGGCTGGCTAACCACTCGCAACCCCTCCCCCCAACCAGACTCCACCTGTGCACGATTCATGCATCAGGACTCTATTAGAACATAACTACCAAATATAATAGGAATTGACTTTTACATTCTAAGTTTAAATGTTATAAAATTACCACTAAATATTCGTGAGATACACTAAAATACAATTCTTACATGATTGTACCATGTAAAGGAATTTATCTATGTCTTAAACTGAATTAAAATTACTATTTTCTTTCAATTTAAAATGACCAATATTCAATCTATTTAATTTCTGGTTAATGAACTCTAATCTTGGTGATAACAGCAATTTTAACACAGCCAAAACTCTATTGATCCTAAATGAAATACCTACTTTGTTATTTTCCTATTTAAGAATCTGTACTATCTATTTTAGGACTCTCTTCTTTTCTGAGTCCTGCCTATAGAGAAGTGTATGGGTAATATTAAATGGCATTTGAATTATTTAGTTCATCTCAATTTTGTAAGGATGATAAAAAAGAATAGCTAAAATAGCTAAATAAGCAAAGTGTTTCAGTAACATACCTCTGGTGAATTTTTATCCATGTCTGTTAAGTCTTTTGAAAGAACTGAAAGAGCAACATCCTTTTGAAGATGCCACAGCGTTGTAGAGTAAATCTCCATGCCTTCAACTCTGTAATTCTCAATTCTTCTAACCTCTGAGAATATTCTTTCAGCCTGAAATACAAAAACCAGTAAGGGGAAAACAAGTTGACACAATTTACATATATATAGGAAGAGCACTGGGCACTCTTCTCATAAGAACTTCATGTTGCCTTGTTTTATGATTGTGTGAGTTAGTAATAACACAAGGCCAAACTAAGCAAATTTTCATGGCAGGTCAAACGTTGATGTAATCACATTCACACTTAACTTAGTTTTTATATACAAGTCATAGTAGAAACATGAATTCTGAAAAGAAAACTTAAGTTTCCACACACACAAAAAGATCTATTCAAAGTTACGATTTTAAAAGGACAAGTCAATTATTTTTAAAAATCACATTTCAAAGTTTTAATAATGGTTTTACAGAATAACTTTCCCTCAGGAAAGATGAGAGAAGAATGACTTCTGTAACAAAAAAAATATCTATTTTTGTACTGACTTTTATTAAGAGGTTGGGTTGAAAACTTTAGAGGAAAAACAGGTTCTGGCATGTTAAGCATATACTATACCCACCAATGTCACATCTGCCAGAAATTGTCCCTATCTAGTAATTCTTTTTTCCTTTGTGGCACTCTCTTGACTTAGGGTCCATCCTTAGCTATTAGATCAAATTATTTCCTCATCACACTCACAGCTCCCAGAGCTGTGCTCCTCTCCCCCTGGAGTTTGAGACTTTGGGGTATATAAAACCAATTAGTTCCTTCATTTATCAATTCAGTAAGTTCAAAATTCTGAAAGTCAAGTTTAGTTTAGAATTAAAGAATATATGGTCTGTTCTTAATGAAATTAAGAAGACATAATATAAGAAAATAATATTTCTAAAACCAGGAACTTAATTCTAAGAAATGGCCATGTATTATCTAGGATAGCTTGATAACTTGTAAATTCCCTGAAATCCCCTATAAGTTATACAGATACAACTTTTTGTATAAGACGACAGACCTAACTACCAGCCAAATACAGATTTTGGAAATGTTTGTTTTCAAATTTTCAGAATCTATTGTTTCTTCTGAAAAGTGACTGCGGCATAGACAAGAAAATATTTTAAAAATCATAACTTTAAGTTGAAACAAAGGCTTTCTTCAGTTAAATATCTAGGTGTATATCTGCTCTATAATTAGGGGAAACAGCACAATTAATGTATCTTAAAGTACCCGTAAAACAATAAATTAGAAATAATTTTGAAAAGGGCTTGCCAAACACAACTTTTGCCTGTGTACCAGTAAAGGACCATAATCCAAACATGGATCTTCTAGCAATGAATAAGACTATCTACAGTTCTTTTCCTCTTTACTTCACAAAATTACACAAACAGATAACTTCTGCATTTATTCTTTATCTGGAAGAACACTCCACCACTAGATCTTTATATGGCTCATAAAGGGAGGAGTAAAGTTCTTGCTCTGAGCACACTTTTTTTAAAAAAGCACCATAAAATTCACTGTCTCTCAATATCCTTACCATGCTTCATTTTTTTTCTTCATATAACTTACCGCTATCCATCCTATATAATAAAAGGCTAATGTGCAAATCGACTGAATGGAGGAACGACCGGTTGCTATGACGTGCACTGACCACCAGAGGGCAGACACTCAAAGAAGGAGCTGCCCCCTGGTGGTCAGTACGCTCCCACAGGGGGAGCGCCGCTAAGCCAGAAGCCCAGAAGCTGGCCTCATGGCTGGGGAGCGCAGCGGTGGTGGTGGGAGCCTCTCCCACCTCTGCAGCAGCACTAAGGATTTCCGACTGACATCCACGGAGCGGGCCTACGCTGTCAGTCGAACATCTCCCAAGGGCTCCCGGGCTGCAAGAGGGCGCAGGCTGGGCTGAGGGACCCCTCGAGTACATGAATCTCGTGCACTGGGCCTCTAGTCTTTATATATTTATTGGCTTATAATCTGTCTTTTTTTTTTTTTTTTTAATATATTTTATTGATTTTTTACAGAGAGGAAGGGAGAGAGGTAGAGAGTTAGAAACATCGATGAGAGAGAAACATTGATCAGCTGCCTCCTGCACATCTCCCACTGGGGACATGCCCGCAACCCAGGTACATGCCCTTGACCGGAATCGAACCTGGGACCCTTCAGTCCGCAGGCAGACGCTCTATCCACTGAGCCAAACCAGTTTCGGCAATCTGTCTTTTATTAGAATTAGAATGTAAACTCTATGAAAGCAAGCAATTATCTGTCTAGCTGTATTATAGAATCTAGAAGACAGACTAGGACAGTGGTCGGCAAACTGCGGCTCGTGAGCCACATGTGGCTCTTTGGCCCCTTGAGTGTGACTCTTCCACAAAATACCACGTGAGGGCGCGCATGTACGGTGCAATTAAAACTTCGTGGCCCATGTGCAGAAGTCGGTATTCTGTCTCTAAATAATGTCTCTAAATAAACCTACATGTCTATGAAAATTGAAGTTTTTGTTTTTTTGTATCCCACATAAACTTAAACCTTGTTTATTTGGCCTGTGTTAGCCTTCTGAGTTTGACATACTTGATATAGAAGTTTCTTAAAATTTTGTTTTTAAGTTTACAGGGCGAGGGAAGAAAATTTAAATTACCATTACAGTTTTCTTTGGCTTTAGGTTAATCATCCTCTCCATTTCTAGTATAAATAAATAATTTAAGCAACAAATATAATTAAAATTAAAAAGCTAAAAGCCTTGTGATAAAGACATTGTGTCCTTGATTACAATTTTCTTCATAGCATCCCTCAAGTTTATAAAACACTAGAGGCCCGGTGCACAAATTTGTGCACCAGTGGGTCCCTCGGCCTGGCCTGTGGGATCGGGCCAAAACCGGCTCTCTGACATCCTCCAAGGGGTCACGGATTGCAAGAGGGTGCAAGTCAGGCCGAGGGACACTACTGGTGCATGATTGGGGTTGGGAAGGGATGTGCGTGGGAGGTTGGCCAGCTGGGGAGGGACTGTGGGAGGGCTCCAGGGCGTGTCCGGCCTGTCTCACTCAGTCCCGATCGGCTGGACCCCAGCAGCAAGTTAACCCTCTGGTCAGAGGTCTGCCCCTGGTGGTCAGTGCACGTCATAGCGACTGGTTGACCGGTTGACTGTCTGCCCCTGGTGGTCAGTGCCTGCCATAGTGAGCAGTTGAGCGGCCTTAGCATATCATGGGCATATTACGCTTTGAGTGGTTGAACGGCCAACTGGTCAACCGGACACTTAGCGTATCAGGCTTTTATTATATAGTATATGAAATGCCAAATATTCATCCCAGTAAGAACTCTGAATATAGTAGAAAGAATTTTTACTAGAAATATCTAGTACATGGTAAATATACTGTATATTTTCAGATTCAACTGAGTACAAATGTTCCAAATAAGAATGTATGCTCCCCCTCCCCCCAAGAAAAGAAGAATATATGGGCCCTGGCCAGTGTGGTTAAGTTGGTTGGTTGGAACAACATTCTGTACACTTAAAGGTTGCCGGTTCAATTCCCAGTCAGGGCACATACTGAGGTTGTGTGTTCAATCCCCAGTCACGGCAAGTACGGGAGGCAAGCAATGGATGTTTCTATCGCATCGATGTCTCTCTCTCCTCTCTCTCTCTCTCTCTCAAATCAATAAAAATATTCTCGCCCTGACCGGTATGGCTCAGTGGATAGAGCGTCGGCCTGCGGACTGAAGGGTCCCAGGTTTGATTCCGGTCAAGGGCATGTACCTTGGTTGCGGGCACATCCCCGTGGGGGGTGTGCAGGAGGCAGCTGATCGATGTTTCTCTCTCATCGATATTTCTAACTCTCTATCCCTCTCCCTTCCTCTCTGTAAAAAGAAATCAATAAAATATATTTAAAAAAAAAAATTCTCGGGTGAGGATTAAAAGAAAACCGTATGGATGACTTGGGTTGTTCTCTACAAATCTACTTCAAGTAATCCTAAAGAATTTAAATCACTCACCCTTAACACAAGAAAGAACTGTATTTATAAATTACAAATAATGAGAAAATATAGACATTACATAATAAATATTGACCTTTTAGATCTAGTCTTGCCAAGCATAGGCATTAATTACATTTCAGTTATGTGTAAAAAAGGCATATATAACTGTTTTCTATACTTACTTGCATGTACTCTGAAAGTTCAAAATAGGCCCTTCCAATTTGGCACAGTACCCAACCAGTATTGTAGTGATGAGAAGGTAGGTGGCTCAAGATATTTATAGCTTCTTTGCAGTTGTATGAACACAAAGCTAAATAACCTTTCCCCATTTCACGAAGAAGGCTCATCAAACCTTCTAGGAGAAAACAATGTAGTAAACAAAGGAGAAAAGACAATAAAACAACTTGATTTTCTAGAAAGACTAATTAAAAAATTACCATTAAAAATTCCAACATCTATTTAGATAAAATGAAAGACACTTTAGTGAACATAAAAAAACACTTACTTAAAATAGTGAATAAAATACAAAGAAGATATTTAGCATTTAAAACAGACCTGCTGCTGCTTTCTGTAGATTAAATGCCTGGATCTGAGGTGTGATTGTGGAGATTTTCCCTTCTGAAATGATGGAAGAGTCCAATTTTGTAATTTCCAGGCTATCATTTATGTTAGGTTGAGTTATTCCTCCTTTATTAGTTTTACTTTTCGTTTTTCTGTTTGGGATTTTAGGTGGAAACTTCATTTTTAATTTTTTGCTATTCTCCTGTAAAAAGCAGGAAACCCCCACACTTGTTACACTCAAGTATTTTAGACATTCCCCGAACCCTTTCTCAAATATTAGATAAAAATAAATGTACAATCTTGTGTATAATCTTGATAGATTATCCATAATATTTGTCAATGGACCAAGGAAACTTACCAAAGACATAATGAGACTCTTTAATTTTGCGAAGAAATGTGTAAAGAAAATTTCCATTTACTCTTCCCCCAATTCTCACCATTGACAACATCTGACATAACCATAGTACATCATCAAATCCAGGAAACTGGAGTTGGTATAATACTATCAACTAAACTACAGACCTTATTTGAATTTCATCAGTTTTTTACATGCATTTTTTGGGGGGAGGGTGGATGTGCATGGTTCTATGAATTTTATAATATGTATAGACTTGTATAATCCACTGCCGCAATAAAAAAGCAGAATATTCTATCAACACAAAGAAATTCCCTTGTGCTATGCTTTAAAAGTCATACCTTCCCCCAGTTCTAACTCCTAAAAACCACTGATCAGTTTTCCAACACAATTTTGTCATTTCAACTAAATTATAAAATAGTTAATAAAGGACCAAGAAAATTTACAAATGTTATATAGATGGCTCCCCAAATTAAAAAATTTTTACAGTCACTTAATTTATTTATTAGAAATTGAGTCATCAATGAGCAGAAATTTTAGAGGGGGAATCATTACCTTGGTTGTAGAGCTGTCACTAGTAAAAAGTCGTGAACTTCTTCGAGGCAGTGCATTTGGGGGAGATGTGATAGTGGGGCTCAATACCTGAGGTGTTGTACTAAAAAAAATATATAAAAATAGACATTTTAAATAAACTCAGTTTATGACCATAAACTGTTGCTTCCATTCAGGTATATTAAAAAATAAACATTCAACATGTTTGCACTCTAAAGTTGATGAGTTTGGTTAGTCCTTTTCTCATCCCTCTATGAAAACTCAGATTTAAATGCTATTTGTGTTACCATAAAATAATGATTATACTACAGATCTTTGCTCTATCTGAAATTGCCAACTTAAACTTAAAACAACCACATAAAAATCCTGGGTCAATAAAAGGTAAACGTACCTATAAACCAATGATCTCTAGCCCTCATTTGCAATGATAGCAAATTAGAGAAAAAGGTAAAGATAATTGGCAATGGATAGTTCAAATGTAGGGATACTTCCCAACAAATACCACCAGAACAACTTATACTTGAGAAGTATTTCCCTATAAATTCAAACACCACATCAAGATTTATAGGACAAAAGAAATCTAATAATCTCTTGGGTACATTTTTTACTTTAAAGGCAAATCCTACGATATAAGAATTTCATTCTTAGAAAGCAAACAAACTTAAAACCTGAAATTATCTGACAGTAAGTAAGTCTATGGAGTAAACTGTTTACAATTTATATAGTTTATGGGAAATCCTAGTAGTTACCTGAGTTTGGGTCAAAGAGACTTTTGAAAAGAGATGTTGACCAGTGAGTAAAGAATATCCAGGTAGTCCTTAATCTTTTCAAAAACCATAATCTCAATGTAGGGATTTCAGCAAAAGAGGTCATTTGGGTTAATCAATTAATTTTTTAAATAAAATTTTAAATTTTTATTTATTTATTTATTTTTATTTTTTAAAAAATATATATTTTATTGATTTTTTACAGAGAGGAAGGGAGAGAGATAGAGAGTTAGAAACATCGATGAGAGAGAAACATTGATCAGCCGCCTCCTGCACATCTCCCACTGGGGATATGCCCGCAACCCAGGCACATGCCCCTGACCGGAATCGAACCTGGGACCCCCCAGTCCGCAGGCCAACGCTCCATCCACTGAGCCAAACCGGTTTCGGCTAAATTTATTTTTAAAAGCAGTTTAAAGTTCACAGAAATATTGAGGGGGCAGGTACAGAGATTTCCTATATACCCTCTAAACTCCCAAATGCATAGCCTCCCCCATCATCAACATCCCCCCAGAGTGGTACAATTGTTATAGTTGAGGAACCTATATCAACACATCATAATTTTCCAAAGTCCATAGTTCACATTAGAGTTCATTTTTGGTTTTGCACATTCTATGAATTTGAACAAATATACAATGACAGGTAATTATGGTATCATCTAGAATATTTTTACTGTCCTAAAAATCCTCTGTGCTCTGCCTGCTCATTACTCCCTCTCCAACTCCTTGCAACCATTAAACCTTTCACTGTCTCCAAATTTTGCTTTTTTGAGAAACCAATTCATTTTCCTTTATTTTATACTAACAACTATGTCCTTTTTACTACAAATGTGAATGATATTTTTTCAATATTGCCTAATTATAGAAAAAGGTTTTGACTGAGAAGTGGGAAGGAATAATCTCATAGCATGGGGCAGTTTATATGGAAGACAAGCCTGAGAAAGATGCTGAGATTGCTTTAAATGGACAGAAGCCTGCATGAGGTCAACATAAATCTTATAGAGGTAGGAAAAAAATGATTAAGAGGATTCTGGAGTTGGGGTGGCTAAAGACAAACTCTTCCTATATTATAATTATCATCAGGGTTCTGTTAGCTCCAAAGGGCTATTTGACAAAAAAAAGAAAAAAAAGAAAAAAGAAAAAATGCTCAAAACCTGACAGTGAACTATTCTTTCAATTACAAAGCAGAGGAGAAATAAAAATTTTCTTCTGACTTACAAAAGCTGAAAAAATTCATGATCATCAGAACTAGACCACAAGAAAACTTAAAAGAATTCCTTCATGATGAAGAAAAAGGATACCAAATTAAAATTTGGATATAAAGAAATAATTGAAATTTGGATATACAGGCAGTGGGAAGTAGAGGGGTTAATGGGGGGAAAAAAGGGACACCTGTAATATTTTAACCCCTAGAATGCCGGGGAGTGTGATCGTGCTCCTCCTGTCTTTCGCCAAAAGTGCCGGAAGCGCTATTGCTTATTAAAAGTTAAACAATATCTTCATTCATGTATTCAAAGTCAACATTAATTTTATTTTAACATTATATGTTTTGTTCAAATTTTTTTCTACTAGTATTTTATAATACAATCAGCAAACAATGTATGTCAAAGATGAAAACAAATGTAGTAAAGGTTTCCTTAAGTTTTTGAATATGTAACTTCATTTACTTGCGATTCATAATTTTTCTCCTAAACTGCTGTAAAATCAGCAAAAATGCCTTGGCAATTTTAGCATAGTTCCTAGGATATTGGTTGGCACTCAAAGGTTAAACAATAAGGATAAAATTAAAAAAGGAAAAAAAAATATGAGTAAATATAAAATAGACTTATTTGTATTATTTTACAAAAATTCTATAAAAGATAACCAAAGCAGAAACAACAATGCACTATGGGGTTAATAACATATATAGAAGTAAACTATATGACAACGATAGCATAAAGACTAGGAAAGGAACATGAAAAAATACTATGGTGTACATGACATGGTATATATTGTTACTTGAAGGTAGACTTTTATAAGTTAAAATGTTATACTATAAACTCTAAACAAAAGACAAAATAAGAATAATCTATAATAATAAAAGCAAAATATGCTAATTAGACTGGACACCCTTTCAAACGAAGCCGAAGCCGGGGCTATGAGGGAAGCCCAGGTCCTGGATGCCTGCCATCAGCCGGAGGAAGGAAGGCCTACTCTTGCACGAATTTCGTGCATCAGACCTCTAGTTACTAACAAAGCAATGCTATGGGTTGAAATGTGTCTCCTAAAAAGATATGTTGAACCCCTAACCCCCAGAACCTGTGAATGTGACCTTATTTAAAAATAGGGTCTCAGTTCTAGCTGGTTTGGCTCAATGGACAGAGTGTCAGCCTGTGGACTGAAGGGCCCTGGGTTCGATTCAAGCGCACATGCCTGGGTTGCAGGCTCCATCCCCAGTAGGGGATATGCAGAAAACAGCCAATAGATGATTCTCTCTCATCATTGATGTTTCTCCTTCTCTCTCCCTCTCCCACTCTGAAATCAATACAAATATAAAAAATAATAATAGTAATAAATAGGGTCTTTGTAGCTATAGTCATGTTAAAAATGAGGCCATCAGGGCCCATATAACTGATTTCCTTAAAAGAAAAGGAAAATTTGGTTACAGAGATACACAGGGAAGATGGCCATGTGAAAAAGACAGAGGCAGATACTGAGTTAGTCTACCACCAACTAAGAAATGCCTGGGGCTACCAGAAGCTGAAAGAGCTAAGGAAGGATCCTCTTCTAGAGGCTTCAGAGGTTGTATGGTCCTGTCAATACTTTAATTTTGGATTATTGTGTCTAGAACTGTGAGTAAATAAATTTGTTATTTTAAAACCATCCAGTTTGTGGTACTTTGTTTCAGCAGCTATAGGAAACAAATATAGAATTAAGTAGATAATACAAAGAACAAAGAATTATTAACAGTTGATGCTTATTAGTGTATTTGTTTAGTTTTAAGTGAAATATCTAATTCAATAAATGTTTTTAAGTATTCTTTAGGATTAGCATATATACTCAGCCTATATAACATTACTCTGCAGGAGACCTCAGGCTCCTTCTCATAACTGAGCCCCAGGCAATTTGTCACCTGTCTTCAAGCTGGCACTCATGATGATACTTATCATCCTACTACTTTAGAAATATTGAAGCCTTTTATATAGTCAAGTCATATGCATACATGTAACTTTTAAGACTTATGATTCATTATTTGAGGAGGAAAGAGACATATCTGTTTATAGAAATGCATAACAGGGGAATGAGAGAATGAAACCTATCTGTACGTGACCAGTGGAGAAGGTCATGTAAATAAGAGGAAAATTACTTTGGAGGAGTGTTTAGAATATCTAATTTCAACAAATTCATGAGGCAATTAGAGTAAACTAAAAAGATATTTTAGCTAATTCTTGTATTGATTTGCATTATAATACTCAACTAAAAATTACACTAGTCTTTTTAGTAAGTTAGAAATTTCTCAAATTTGACATATTCAAAATCTATAATAGTCATTCTAGAATTCTTAGGAGAGTCAAAACCTGCCTATATGGAAGTATAGCAAGAAAATCTGAACAATATCAAATAATGCACCATAATAAATACCTCGTTTGTGGGCCAGAACTTTGTGTTTGTGCAACAAGAACTGGAGTTACCTCTCGACTATTTCCACTCTGTGAGAAGACAGATTTTGTTCCAGTTTGGCCGATTCTGGCAACAGACTGCAAAACACAAAAAGTCTAAGGTTTGTGAATTATAAATTGCATTATAAATAATAAGAGATATATGATGCTCCTATTTCCATTATCCAAATGCAAGATTTCATAATATATTACTGTCATTTGAATAACCAACTACAGTGGGGCCTTGACTTACGAGTGTCCTGACTAACAAGTTTTTCGAGATATGAGCCGTCTCTTGGCCGATTTTTTGCTTTGAGTTGCAAGCTAAAATTCGGGTTATGAGCCAGCTTCAGATACCCCACTGCTAGTTGGCGCAGCGAACGTCACAGTGAACGCCACAACATCAGCCCAGCATCACATGTCTCACTCCTTCACTTTTTGATTTGACATACGAGTAATTTGAGTTACGAGCTCCGTCACGGAACGAATTAAACTCGTAAGTCAAGGCCCCACTGTACTAATGTCATACTAGAGGCCTGGTGCACGAATTCATTCACGGGTGGGGTCCGGCTGGCTCACTCCAATGGGGGCAATTGGGGCTGGGCAGGCCAGGGGGAGGGGCCTCGGGAGGTTGGCTGCCCAGCTCCGCCCCCAATCTGGCAGGTTGGCAGGCTGCAGTGTGTGTCATAGTGACCTGTAGTTCCAGTCGTTTAGACTTATATATATATGGATAGATAGATTAGAATGAACAGCCTATTTCCACATTTTAACCCCAGTATTTTTATCTTTATACTATCCTGTCATCTTTCACTTTAGTTTTTAAGGAAAGGCTCAAATTTCTGGAAGGCATTTATTACAACATCTTCTCCAGTTGGGGCTAATGCTAAAGAATTTTAAGACAGCTACTATTCTCAAGATTTATGATCTAATTTAGTATATATAAAAAAATAATATAGCCCCATTGGCATGGCTCAGTGGTTGAGCTTTGACCTGGAGGTCATGGTTCGATTCCCAGTCAGAGCACATGCCTGGGTTGCAGGCTCAATACCCTGTAGGGGGTGTGCAGGAAGCAGCCAATCAATGATTCTCTCTCATCAATAATGTTTCTATACCTTTCTCCCTCTCCCTTCCTTTCTGAAATCAATAAAAATACTTTAAGATTTTTATATTCCTTCTTTGGCACTTAGTAAAAGCAATTCTATACAGGTATCCCCTACTTTTTGAAAGTTCATGACTTTGCTTTTATGAAAAAAGTTGAGAAGCAAAAATACTGCTTAGCATTTGTTTTGCAAGGAGCCGTTAGAAGCTTTGAGAGCCTCCAGTAGTGACAATGGTAGCAGTAAGCTCCTTCCCTGGGAACTACACCCAGCATCAAGCCCCCAGAGCATGGAACTGTGTCTGTGAGCATCAGTGCTTTATTTTGTGCACTCATTAGCAAGATATGTCCTAAAGTATCAGAAAAACTCATAAGGATGTTATGTACAGTGAAAAACCGGATGTACTTAAGCATTTCAATTGTGGTGAACGAAATAAAGACGTGCATGCGTTGAATTTGGGGGCTGGGAATGGTCAAATATTTCTTTATAAATTACTTATAATTTATAAATTATAAATACTTACTTGCTTTAAACCATTTTGGCTTACAAAAGGTTTCATGAATACTCTACTTTTGTATAGTGGGGGAAACCTACAGTAGTTAGAAGAGTAGGTTTAAAAAGAAGTCATCCAATTATTTTCCAAATTCTAAGGATATTGCTCTTAGAATTAATATTTCTTTCTAGTGTATTCAATCTTTCATTAATTAGCTTCTGCTGCCTAGAGAGGGGAAAAACCCTTTGCTTGCTCCTTTCTGTCTTCTCTAATTTGTCACCTTATTTCTATTCATTTTTTCACTTAGCTTCTTTATAAAGAGATCAATGACTACTGTATCAATGGATGTTTTAAATTTCTTTACTACCAGATAATTTTCTTCAAAACTTACCTGTTACTTTCATAGCCACTGTACATAAATCTCAAACTGTACATTACAAATAATCATGTTTTCATCAGATAGGAAAGCCTAATTTTGGCTTTTCCTGCATTCATCATCACTGATCATGCCTCCTTTTTGAAACTTTGTATAATTTCCAAAATAGTACAGTATCTTTATTATTTGTCTTACCATTTCATTTGCTGGCCCCTCTTCCTTCCATTAACTATGCTCTTTAGCTACTCTCTCTTTCCTTAGGGGAGCCTAGCCATTTTAACAGCTTTAATTATTATTTCTATCACCAGGCCTTATTCTTTCCTGTATGATTAACTATCCATTGAATATTTTCACCTAATCTACCACCACCTCACCTATATTCCTTCCTCCTTTTCCTTCTACATTCACCCAAAGGACAAAACTTAAAGTCAATTTGGGCCTTATCTAACCAAGAACTATGTACTACACCCATTACTAGGTTTGATATTTTTATTTTTATTTTAATATATTTTATTGGTTTTTTTACAGAGAGGAAGGGAGAGGGATAGAGAGAGTCAGAAACATTGATGAGAGAGAAACATCGATCAGCTGCCTCCTGCACACTCCCCACTGGGGATGTGCCCGCAACAAAGGTACGTGCCCTTGACCGGAATCGAACCTGGGACCCTTGAGTCCGCAGGCTGACTCTCTATCCAAACCGGTCAGGGCTAGGTTTGATATTTTTAGTTGATACTGCATGCAGACCTACAAGTATAGCTTTTCTAAGAACATCTTGTAATAGGGTAAGAAGAGAACAGAGGCACAAGAGGAAGAGATGTAACTTTTATTATTTGGGCACTGAAATCATATACCTCTCACTTCCTAACTTCTCCTGATTGCAATAGCTTGCCTGGTTCTGGCCTATTTCACCTGGCATGCTAACTACTATGCTACTATGCCTTCCCATAACTGTAATAAACTAATTCCCACTATTATTTTTCACTCTTATAACAGTACAATACAAGGTAGTTGCCAACTTTTAGATATCACATTTAAAATAATCTACACTTCAACTACTTTGCAGTCTCTTTTCACCACTCTTGGAACTTTTTTCCCCCCCACAGACTCTAAGGAAGTTCAGGAATAAAAGAGTAAAAAACAAGAAGAAACATGTCTCTAGAGTGGTAAAGGGGGTTATATTGGTCATTCACATACTATTATTATTTATTTAGCTGTCATTTCTTAAACATCTATTTGCCATCAAATAGGCATTTTACACATATAACCTAATTTAATTATCATAAAAGATACCCTGCACCACAGATATCTTTTAAACAAATAGCACTTTGACCTGTCCTACCATAGATCTTTATAAAAGAATATTATAAAGAGAATCTCAAAACTTATCCCAGTATTTGCTGTAAGAATATTGTCAAATATTTTTCATTTTTTTTTTTACACATTTCTATATCATAAAAGCCTAATATGCTAAGTGTCCGGTCATCTGGTCGGCCATTCAACCAATCAAAGTGTAATATGCTAAAGATATGCTAAGGCCGCTCAACAGCTAACTATGATGTGCACTGACCACCAGGGGCAGTCGACCGGTTGACCAGTCACTATGACATGTACTAACCACCAGGGGGCAGACGTTCTGACTGGTAGGTTAGCTTGCCACTGGGGTCCGGCTGATCGAGATTGAGCGAGATGAGCCGGACATGCCCTGGAGCCCTCCCGTGGTCCCTCCCCAGCTGGCCAACCTCCCACATCCCTCCCCTGCCCCGATCGTGCACCAGTGGGGTCCCTCAGCCTGGCCTGCACCCTCTCACAACCCAGGACCCCTCGGGAGATGTCGGAAAGCCAGTTTCAGCCCGATCCCGCAGACCAGGCAGAGGGACCCACTGGTGAACGAATTTGTGCACCAGGCCTCTAGTTTACTATAAATTTACTACACATCTATGAGTAGCCACTATAAGAATTTTATTATCAGAAACAGCTGGCTTTACATAAGTCAGTCTTTTTTTCATTTTAACACTAGTATACTTAAAAAACAAACATGGTGATGGGGACAAGTAAAAACTATGGCAGGTATATTTCTTATTTATATTCAAAGTGACAGAAACTCTTAATTTCATTAAAAAAAACCCGTAAGAAATTGAAGGAAAAATCTGAATGTGTTTATTTGATGTATGCTGAAATAAAGAGCAACCAGGTTTGTGTCTCCAATTATAACAAGGCTAGGACAGCGATAACCTTTTACATTTAGATCAATAACTCTAATGCAACAACAATTATATAAAGTTAGGTTCGCTATGAAATTGCTTTTAATAGATTGGAATTTTAAATGAATTTTCTTTCATCAGTACTAAAACTATATTTTACATGGAAAATACCTTTTTTGAAGGGGCTCCGGTGGGTGGCACATCAATTACAGAAGATGTATTAGTGTAGTTTTGTAAATAGGATCCATCTCCAGGACTTGGGGTTTCTAATGGCAAAATCCCAAAACTGAGAAGAGGTTGAAATCAAGGTGTCAAAAAGTCATCAAGGCATATATAAAGCAGCAGTATACTAAATTAGAAGGTCTAAAAGGAAGAGAATGGCAAATCAGTCTTGGGGCAGCGAGGATCTAAGGGGCAGATTAAAAATAAGCTATGAATGTAGACTATTCCAACCACCATAACTAAAACTTAAAATACCAAACAAGACTAAATTGAGCAGCAACAACTGATCTCAGGAGATTTATTATAAATAAGAGTGGTGTTGTAAAAACTAAGTTTCCAATGATCAATTTTATTAAAATTCTTGGAATTTATGGGATTTAGACACTATTACAGAGAAAATGTGAACCCACTTATGGATTCAATGAGTTATTGTCATCTCATGTTTATGCTATTTTAGTAGTTCCCTGGCCCTGGGACCCAATTTAAGTCTATTCTAGCATATAATTTTTTATTTTGATACTTTTGGATATGTATCCTCTGGGCTGGGTTCCTGTATTTATACATACATATACTTCTAATAATTTTCACAAAATATTTCATATTAATAGGTGTCATTTCTTCCTCCATGCTTTGGAAAATAGCACTTTAACAACAACCATCATCTGATTATATCATAAACATTTCAACATTCTAAGAGGGTCACTATTCACTGATGCACAAACATAAAGACATCTTTTAATGCATACACTAACTTCATATGGCATATTTAAGAGTTTTTAAATTTTCTCTAATATTTAATATTAAATTTTTATCACAGGTACTTTATTTTGATCACAGGTACTTTACTCCATTATTGACTTATTAAATGCCTCTTTTTCTATATTTAAAAGTTTCATATTATTAGTAATTTATAATTACTAATTTATATTACTAATTTATAATTACTATTTATATTACATATAATTAGTAATTTATATTACTAATAATATGAATTATTATAAAATAATTTAATATTATAGAACACATTTTAAACTATCTTTTGTTTGTCTTACCTGGGGGTTAATGGGCTAAGAGCAGCTGGTCCTCCTAATAAGCTTCGACCAGTTTTTGGTTTATTTTGAACCTGTTTAGATAATATAGAAGTTCCTGTTCCGAGAGGGACAGTATCTGGTGAAATTACAGCTGAATCAATATAAGACACTGAGGAATCTGTATTCAAGGAATACTTTGAATTGGAAGATTCTAAATTCAGTCTGTTTAATTCCTGAAACAGAAAATTTCTACCATGACATTTACAATACATCATTTAGTTCAGATCATTATTTTTCATTTTCATAATATTTTGAATAATAGAATATGATACACTTACAATTGTGTCCTGGGGTGTTTCTGTAAGAACCGTCTCAGGTTGTCTGTGAGATAAATTATGATTAGATACTACTGTTGTGCAAGAGTTGGGCAGACAGTTGCTAAAGTTCTGTAAAGAGGTTAATTTAAATGTTTGGTCAGGATCTGGCTTTTCACCTGTGAAGGGAAAAAAAAAATTTGCTTCTGAAGAAATGAGGGTTAATTTTCCACCCCAGGTATGTATAAATCAGTGGAAATAGCCCTTTTCCAGAGTTTTAAAGTTCTTCTGATTGTTTCACCTGATCAAATTTACCTCCCAGAAGCCCACCCATCAATTTATTGCGCAAGTTTACCCCCAAGATAAAGCTGTAAATTTAGGAAATAAACTGAACACCAATGATATTGATTTTAAATATAATAAATCACAGGAAAATGCCAATTTCTGTGTTTATTTTAAAGCAGAAAGCAAAGATCTAGATCTCATTTTGCTCAAGGTAAGGACTAAGAGCAGAGAGTTGAAACCCACTAGAAATATTAAAATTTTAAGCACTCCCATGTATATAAATACAATGTTTTAAAATGATCCTTCATGCATACTAGAGTGTATATATATATATATATATATATATATATATATATATACTGAAACACCCCATATATTCCAGGTCTTAATTTATATTATTACAGTTTCTGCTATGGGATTCTATTCATTTCTTTTCTTATCCATGAAGCTGTTTTGGTTAATGCTATACTCATAAGACAACTCATGCTAGAGGACACAAGAAAGGCTACATGATTCCTGAAACATATGACTCTATCTTATTTCTTGTTCTCAATTTTAACATCCCTTTGGCTTTGAAAAATATTTTTTTCTGAATAATTTGTATCCAAAAATTAAGCAAAGAAAAAAATAAAGAAGAGGAAATGGAGAACCCCTTCCCCTACAGCCATTTCTATAAACCTACCTATTTCACATAATGATTCAAAAGGGGACCAGAGGAAAGGATTTAAACTAAGGCTCTTTTGGTAACATTCTGATCCTTTGGCAAGCCGATCTGTTTTGCTGTAAAGGCAAACAAATCAATTAGACATGCTATAAAACCTAAGACATATATTATAAGGAAATTTTTGGTACAGAAATTAGTTAAGTCATAAAAGTTCTGAGAATATTCTTCTTGATGCTTCCCTAAATCACCACTTTCCCCTTCTTACCATCCTCCAATCTCTATTACTTAGGGCAATTCAAGTCAAAAGTCAGTGAAAATAAACAGAACATGAATTAAAAGGAATGCTAACAAAATAAACAAACTATCATTGCCATCTTGAATATTATAATGTTTTTTATGTACTGTCAGATACTAGAATTACTAAAGGAGATATAAAAAACATCCAAATGTTTCAGTCTTATTTTCTTAATTTTTAATATAATATCCTAGTGGTAATTTTCAAAGTGACTTAAATGCTTTAAATATAACATATTTAAGTGGTCAGATTTTCTAACCAAGTGGAGATGATAGTTCTTAATGAAAGAAAAGTTTATGTTTCTAAGTCAGGTATATAAAGGTTACATTTAGAATGTAAACAACATTCCTAAAACCATATATACTTGTAACAACCTGAAAATTATTACACTGGCATTGTTACCTCCCTTGCTTTTAAAGGGGAGGGCAGATGGGGTTGAGGGTTAGTGAGATTCATTGGAGCTTTCAGGCAAAAAAATACTAATCCTCTTATCTGAAGTGGAAATTCTTCATTATATATATAATGGGAAAAATTAAGATACAGTAATTCTTTTTTTTAAATATATTTTTTATTGATTTCAGAGAGGAAGGGAGAGGAAGAGAGAGAGAAACATCAATGATGAGAGAGAATCACCAATCAGCTGCCTCCTGCACACCCCTACTGGGGATTGAGCCCACAACCCGGGCATGTGCCCTTGATCAGAATCGAACCTGGGACCCTTCAGTCCAGAGGCCAACACTATCCACTGAGCCAAATCAGCTAGGGCATAAGATACAGTAATTATTCCAAAATTCTATAAAGCGCCAGATGGCAACTAACCAAGATTTTCAAAAGAATTTTCGAATGAAACTATCAGCTAAAACATATAATCTAAGTGCTGTCAGTGTAATCTCAGAGAACTGTGAAGAGGACCCCTTTGGGGAACTAGATTAGTTTGCTTTACTTCCAAATTTTCAAGTGACTAGAAACTAGAATGATGTACTAAAGACAAGTACCACCAGTTGAAGGATATCTAGCTTTCCATACTTTCCTAATTTGATTCAATAAACACATGGACATGTGTGAAGTGGTTTCCAATGATTGTTTTTATTTGCCTTTCCTTAACATCTAATGATTTGGCACATCCTTTTATGTGCTTATTTACCAGCCATATGTCCTCTACAGTGAAGTATCCATTTAAGTATTTTGCCCATTTTCCAGTTTTATTACTATTGAGAATTCAAAGAAACAAAACTTTTTCTATTAAGTCTTTTTTAAAAAAATATTTTATTGATTCTTTACAGAGAGGAAGGGAGAGGGATAGAGAGTTAGAAACATCGATCAGCTGCCTCCTGTACACCCCCCACTGGGGACGTGCCTGCAACCAAGGCACATGCCCCTGACCGGAATCGAATCCAGGACCCTTCAGTCCGCAGGTTGACGCTCCATCCACCGAGCCAAACCGGCCAGGGCTCTATTAAGTCTTTTTTAGTTACCATCTTATCCCTCTTCTTAACCAGGTAGACTTGAGCATTCCTTCATTCGAACAAAATACTGCTCAAATTTTATCACATCATTTTTTTACTGTAATCATAAAAACTTATGAACTTTTGTTTACTGCTTATCTCCTCTATTATAAATCTCTGAGGGTGAAGAGTGTGAGTTATTTATCTTCATATCCGCAGTGCCAAGTACTGTGTCTAGCCATAATAGAGGATGAATCTCAAAGTTCCTTGAATAAATGACAAGATGAATCATAGTTGCATGAACCAAATTAATAACTCTAAGTCCTTTTATTGAGATAAATGAAGATATTAATATTTTATTTTTATTTACTCCCATTCTCAAGAGTAGTGTCATCTGACTATAAGCCTCCAATTCAAATAATTTATTCTGTTCAAAAAGACATTTTCAAGGTTTTTCAAAACTACTATTAAACTAGCCTCAATTTATCTTAAAACAGATACTATCCTAATTTTTAGATAAACAATCCTCATCCATTTTTCCCATGATATGCAACAGATGACATTTACACAAGCGATACACTCCTATAGTCAGTTGAAGAATTCCTGTTACCTCATTACATCTTGACCCCTCTTCCCAGCTCAAAGAGTACTTCAGAATAAAAATAGGTGAGAAAAATATTATTATGGTGATAACACTGAAGTCAATTTCTCTTGCCTTTAAAAGACTGAAATTAAATAAATATAAGTAAATTTATTTACTTTATGGCTGAAACTTTCCTTCAAACCTCCTACTAAGGAGCAGCAGTGACATTTAATATTAGAGAAAAAAACTTCACTCTTCTTTTTCCTCAGTGGATTATATGATACTCTCCTCAACCAGGTAAAAAACCCATATGTTCACTCAATTGGTAGGCAGTGTGCTGCTATAGCTATTGTCATTAAGGCAAAATGGATAGTCAATATGGGATCAGCATCTCTAGTATTTTCCAGGTTTAACAAGGTCATGGAACTAGAAGACTGTGTACTACTACTCAGCTAAGTGCTACTTGATAAACACAGATCATCACAGGTTTTTAAAATCACAAAGCAATGCCCTAACTGGTTTGGCTCAGTGGATGGAGCGTCGGCCTGCAGACTCAAGGGTCCCGGGTTCGATTTTGGTCAAGGGCATGTACCTTGGTTGCCAGCACATCCCCAGTGGGGGGTGTGCAGGAGGCAGCTGATTGATGCTTCTCTCTCATGGATGTTTCTGACTCTCTATCCTTCTCCCTTCCTCTCTGTAAAAAATCAATAAAATATATATTTTTTAAAAAATCACAAAGCATTCTAGTATTGGAAACAATTTTCTGATAATTTGAATGATTCTTACCAATATACATGTCCCAACAATGAAAGAGTAAAGCAAGCTGAATCACCAAACTCAGTAACAATATCATCATGGCTTTTCTGTTTATTAAACACTCCACCAGATAAGATCTGTTCCCCTTCAGCAAGCCTTTAAAACACAAATTTACAGACTTTAAAGTCAACATAAAAACACATGACTGTAAATACATTCTTCATTACCAATGTACCTCTTAATATAAAGATAGGTAAAATAAAAAGTTCATGTATCTTTACAATACCAATAAACTTGTATTTAGAATCATTTGGGAGATTGGGAATTTATTATCTTAAAATTTGTCTTGCCTTTAAAAACAAAACCAGCTAAATTTACTCTCTGTATGTATAAATCTGGCCTGAACAACATACACAATATTCATGTCAAAAGAAATAAAGACCATTATTCCCGGGGGGAGGGGGGAGAATATAAATGGTTTTTCATTAACAAACATGGTGACCCTTCTTAGTTTATAATTCCTTGAAATATAAATTTGCAAGCAAATTAAATAAGACTAACATTTTAATTAAAAATTACATACTTAACAAGCCTCAGTCATTTTTAGGTTTATAAATGAAACCTGAATAGCACTTCATCTCTTTTTATTTGTCAGTTATGCTTTCTTGACATTGAAAATCATAAGTGTTCACCAAAGGATAAATTTTGGCCTGATTTCAGTATATATTTTTAGCATCAGAGTTTATAATGGTTTGTATTTTAAAGTTTTTTCCAAATCATGTAGAAAACTCTCGAGTTTACATATAAAAGGTAATATCTAAAGTTTTTTGTGTTTTTTTTACTGTCAGTAAGATTTAAAAAAACACACAATACTGTATAATGATTTGTAGAAGGGGTAAGAACTGGCTTAAGCCATTGGTAAATTAAATAAACTGATTTTTAAGAATTTAACATTAGCCCTGGCCGGTTTTGCTCAGTGGTTAGAGTGCTGGCCCTCTGACCAAAGGATCAAAGGTTTGTTTCCTGGCCAAGGGCACCTACTTGGGGCACATGCAGGAGGCAACCAATTGATGTTTGTCTCTCTCTCCCTTCTCTTACCTAAAAAAAATCAATGGAAAAAATATCCTTTGATGAGGATTAAAAAAAAAAGAAAAAAGAATTTAACATTAGAATCCTTGGAGTAAAAATAATTCAATAACAAATATTTCAGAACTATTATACATATTGTAGCTAGCTTTAATTGAAAAGCCATCAAATAAAATAAACCTGTAAACATACAAAGAAAATATACACACAGGCTTTTATAATTATGTCTCTAGTCACTTTTACATTATTCCATCTCTTACAGCACAGAAAGAGTTTAACAGAACACAACTACCTATACTTCTAGCTGCCTCCAAATTCAGAACTGGGACAGCTGACTTGGTTTAACTGTAATGTGCAAAAGAAGCACTCTCCAGAATCTGTCCCATTGCATCAATGAGGTAGGAGTAGTGGTTTGCAAATAGAATGATCTTGAAAGGCAAATAATTACACAACTACCTAGACCCAAGGGAGCATTAATTGCAAGTGAAGTGGTAAGTTTTCAGACTTATTCCAATTGGCCTAACAATGAAAGCAAAGGAAATGAAATAACACTTGGAATTTTAGAAAATGATATAAATTAGTTATAACTTAAGTTTCTTCAAAGTTAAATTCTATTATTTATTACAATAACAATGAAATCTTTCCATAACAAAAATAATAATGCTATAGAATATTGTATAAACATTTCAAACTACTGAAATGACAAATTTCTACTACCCAAAAAGAGGGGACAAAGTGAGTCAGAGTTTAACCCATTAAAAGAATTTTATCCCAAATTCTACAGTGTAAGTAAGAATGAAATTAGAACACATTCTTAAAAACTTACTTGCTGAGATCAACACAACATTTTGCAAGCAGGTATTTACATTGTGGTGTAGTACAACTGTGTCCTTTCAAGAGTCTATATGCTTTATATGCCTTTCCTGAGCGATAATAACAGGTTGCCAGTAAAAACAAAGCTTCTTCTGAGTGTACTAAAAACACATATGGAAAAAAAAGAGCTATTATTCAGTAGGTTGAATGGTAATCATTGTTTATCTGGCAATAAACAAGTTTGGTAACAAAAAAATTAGGCATGTTATTTAATGTAAAACAATCATTTATTTCCACTAAGGAGAAATACTTACTGATAGAAAATTAGTTCCCCACAGTCACTAATCATAAGAGAAATGCAAATTAAAACCACGATGAGATATCACCTCACACCTGTTAGAATGGCTATCATCAATAAATCAACAAGCAAGTATTGGCAAGGATGTGCAGAAAAGGGAACCCTCTGTAGGTGGGAATGCATATTGGTGCAGTCACTATGGAAAACAGTACAAAGATTCCTCAAAAAATTAAAAATGAAACTGCCTTATGACCCAGAGATTTCACTGCTGGGTATACATCTGAAGAAACCCAAAACACTAATATGAAAGAATTTATGCACCCCTGTGTTCATTGCAGAGTTATTTATAACGGCCAAGATATCAAAGCAATCCAAGTGCCCGTTACAGATGAGTGGTACATATATACAATGGAACATTACTCGGCTGTAAAAAAAGAAAAAAAAGAATCCTACCATTTGCAACAGTATGTATGGACCTGGAAGATATTATGTTAAATGATATAAGTCAGACAAATACCATCTGATTTCACTTATATGTGGAAGCTAAAGAACAAAATAAAGAACAAACAAAATGGACTCAAATATACAGAGAATAGACTGGTGATTGCCAGAGATGAGGGATTTAGGGAGGGGATAAAAAATGTGAAGGGATTAAGATGTACAAATTGGCAGTTATAAAATGTCATGGGAATGTAAAGTATAGCATAGGGAATATAGTAAAAAATATTACAATAACTATGATTGATGCCAGGTGACTACTAGAACACTTTGCAAGGTATAGGATTAATTAACCACTATGATGTACACCTGAAACTAATACAAAATACTGAATATAAACTGTAATTGAAAAATAAAAGTTAACAAAGGATCAGCTTGCAAAAAACCACATAAATAATATTGAATAAATAAGTAATAATACTATGATAAATTCTTTAAATTTTTTTTAACTACCAAGAACTATATATTTATTGTAGTTACAGAAAGATGACAATTTTCCAGCTACTGTAGCAATAAGAGGAAGTATAAATGACAAAGCTGATGAGTTTCAAGTACATAAAAATTTTAAATATCAGAGTAATGTACATAAACAGACTTAAGATTATAAAGCAACAACCTGGGGCAAATATGTAATAAAGATATAGCTCACAAAATAGGAATAAATTTAAAACAAACACTTGAGAAAATAACCATTAATCTCTTAGTTAAAAAATGCAAGACAAATATGTCATAATTCTCAAGCAAAAATACATTACAATGGTCAAATGTAATAGTGATAGGCCTATGAAGCAAGTCTTATACTATTGGTGACACCCAGATTGGTGACACCTCTCTCTGCTGTGTTATCAATTGGCAAAAAGTAATTTGTTGTAGAATTGACTATTTGACTTGTAAATTCCATTTCAGAGTATATAATCCAAGGAAATGACTTAAAAGAAAAAAAACTATACATAATTACATTAACATCTTAGAAAGAGAATTACAATAAGTTTAATGACAGAAACAAAATATACATTACTAGATGTTTATTGAACATTTATTACCATGCAATAAGGCTGTGCCAAGTGCTTCAGATACATTATTTTATTTCATTCTTGCATTTTTTTGTTTTATTTTTCCCCCCACATTTTTTAATTTAATTCTTCAATTTTATGAGGCAATTATCTTTAGTTTATAGCTGAGAAATCTGTAGTACTCAGACATTAAGTAACTTGCCATAGGTGTACAACTGCAAATTTAAGTGACAGAGTTAGGGTTTTCACTTGAAGCCAGAGACTCTAATTCATGCTCTTGGCCACAGAATATAGACTCTGTTCTAATAAAAAACACAGGGGAAAAAATACTTAAAGATTGGAAAAGATTAAGTAAACCATAGTGTAAAATCTGAAGCAACTCTATAGTTATTAAAAGTAATATATATGTGAGCTACACAAATACAGGGAAAAGTTTTTATGAAATAGTATCAATTGTAAAGAAAAAGAAAAAAGCGATACTCAGAATTTTGTTATAGTTATAAAAAGGGATGGTGTTCATATATTTTATTTATTTAGGATTTTACAGAAATAAATATAGTACAAACCTTCTGCATATAGTCGTTCTGCAAGGAAAACTGCATCTCGGTAAGCATAATGGTTTAGTGCTTGCCATATAGCAGCCTGCAAGAGGAAGAAAAGAACATAAATATATAAATGCAGAGTTTCAAGGAAGCTCCTAGCTCAGAGCCTTGCATATAATCCCCAAATCAACATCCCTAATTTAAGTGATAAAACTTCAATGTCTGCAGTGCAAACTCCAAAGTGTGTTAGATAAAGCTCTTCACAGACGGTTCCAAACATACCTGAATTCACTCACTGGACTTTCCACGGACTTTTAGGCCTCTGTGTCTTTGTACTTCCTTTTCTTGCACTAGGCCCGGCTAGTGACTAGTGACTAGGGAATGTGGGCTCCGTCATTCCTAAAGATCCAGCTTAGATAACATCTACTTCATAAAGCTTTCCTGGCTGATCTTTAGCCATTTTTTTTTTTGGTAAACATACCTCTTCTAGTATAAGCACTCATATTATATTACAGTTATTCATTTGCAGGTCTGCCTACCACACTAAACTATATTGCTCTAAACTTAAAGCAGTGGTTTTCAACAATTTTTCATGATACACATAAGGGAGATATTCAAATATATGCTATCTTCCAACAAAAACTTCCCCATTGAATACCTTTAATGCTACCCTGTTCTCAGCCACTCAAGGAAATGTTTTTACTGATTCCTTCATGACTTACCATGAATGATAAAGCACTTGGGTGGGGTTGGGTGTCTTTTTTTTAACTTTTCTGAACTGGAACGCTCCAGTACTCATTCATTCAATAAATATTTACTGAGTGCCCACTATGTGCCAAGCACTTTCTAGACTCTGGGAGTACAATAATTAACAAATAGTTTCTGTTCTCATGAAGTACATTTTAGTGTTATTCCTACATAGATCAGTGGCTATCAACCCTTGCTTGATGGTGCTCTACCTCAAATCCACTGAATCACAACCCCTGGAAGTTGGGATTGAGTTTAGATAGCCTTTTTTTTAAACCTTTTAACGGGTAAGCATTCAGGGTTCAGAACCATTCTTCTCCATTTCTAAATAAGTAGTTCTCCCTCCTTTTATAGCATACTCTCTTGAAAACTTATGAAAGCAATAGGGCTCTTAAGAAAAAAAGTACACGCACATATATACAGAAAATCTGTATACAGTGTTAGGGGTTCACAGATATCCTGGTTCATTAAAAATCACTGATCTAGCTGATGGGAGCCTGATATATAATAGGTGCTCAATAAATATTTGTGGAATTACAGTTAGATTAAGTTCCTCCTTATCCATGGAAAATATGTTCTAAGACCTCCCAGCAGATGCTTGAAACAGCAAATAGTATCAAAACCTACAGTATATATATTTTTGCTATACATACATACCTATGATAAAGCTTAATTTATAAATTAAGACATAGTAAGAGACTAACAACAATAACTAATAATAAAATAGAACAATTGTAATACTAAACTGAATTAAAAATTATGTGAAAGTGGTTTCTCTCTCAAAATATCTTATTGTACTGTATTCACCTTTTCATTTAAAGGAAGCACTTAGCTTCTCTTTGGCTTATCCGAATTGCCTTGCACTTTAGGGCCTTATTAAGAAAAATAAGGGTTACCTGAACACAAGCACTGCAATACCTTAACAGTCAATTTGATGATGAGAAGGCTAAGAAGTGACTATTGAGCAGGTAGTGTATACAGGGTGAATACAATATAAAGGGATAATTCACATCCCGGGCGGGATGGAGCAGGAATGTGGGAGGTTTCATCATGCTACTCAGAATAGTGTGTAGTTAAAATAACTTATGAGTTGTTTATTTCTAGAATTTTCTATTTAATGTTTTTGGGCCACAGTAGAACATGGGTAGGAGGGAACTACTGTACTTGAAAGGGGAAAAGATAAGTTACTGACTTAGAAAGATGTTTTCTCTTTGCACAGTATAGATTACTATAGTACTAGTATCTTGAGGATCATTGCTGCTAAGAGTGGGAGAGTGTTCCTTATTTGAAAATCAAACTGCTCAAGGTCACACCTGTGACCTTGCATGGTGCACATGAAATAATGAATGTACTGATAATTCAATTTGGGTACATTATGGATTTAAAAGGTTTTTAATGTGCTGATTTGTGAGTCACCATCATTTATAGAATTGTACCTAAAGAAACATACCTAGAATCTATCCCTTCTTTTCTAGTCCCAGTTCATAACAGAATCTTCTTTCCTTTAAACTCTTAGTTTCCTAAGTGGTTTTCCTGCCTGCAAGCTGTTATGCAATCCATTCTGTCTTGAATTATCTTCCTCAAACGTAAATATTACCACTGCTAAACAGAAGACTAAGGTAAGAGGTTTGGTTCAAATCCACTTTCCACAACTTAGTAGTTCTATGTCTTGGGCAAGTAATTTCATGTCTGGTAAGTCTTAGTTTATTCGTTCAAAACATAAGACTCCAGTAAAGTACATAATAGTTCTGAGCACATACCTAATAATAACTCAATAAATTTTAGCTGCTGCCATCCTCATTATGATCATCATGTCTTCCTCTTTGATCAAAACTTTCTAATGCTTTCTCTTGGATAGCTCCACAAAATTTACAAAATAAATATCTACAGAATAAAGCACAAATAAACTATTCAAATCCCATCTGACTTTAGCCTTCATTTTTCAGCTGTTTTCATATCTCACCAAAGCTGCCTATGATTTTGAACAAAATGCCTCTATAGCTCCCTAAACATCCAATGTATTTTAATATTTCAGAGTTTTTGCTAACACTGTTGCCTCTGTTTGGGCTGTCTTTTAACTTCTATCTCCTGAAAGCTTAATTAGTCTTTCTTCAAAATTCAACTTACACACTCCTCTGCCTTTGGCAAAGCCCTCACCGATCTATCCAATGCAATGCTGATTACTCCCTAAGAGGTTCTAGACAGCTTATGCTTTTTTAAAAAATCAGTTGCTTATTAGATTTAGTTATATTATTTGGTTAATTAGGTTGCAGTTTCTTGAAGACAAAAACCGGATTCGATTTTTCTATAGAACTACAGGCCCGGTGCATGGATTTGTACACTGGTGGGGTCCCTTGGCCTGGTCTGTGCCCTCTCGAAATTCGGGACCTCTTGGGGAGTGTTGGATAGCCAGTTTTGGCCTGATCCCCACAGGCCTAATCCAGACAAGAGGGAGCCCGATCCTGTGCTTTGAGCATCTGTCCCCTAGTAGTCAGTGTGCGTTATTCCTTTATAAAATACGGGGAATTCTTAAGAACTTATTAAATATTGTTGTAAATGAAAGAACATGATAAGTAGAAAGAATATACCTAGGATTTTATGTTGGAGACTTTTGTTTAAAGTTGTGTACCAGTACTTTTGCAAGTGTGACTTTGGAGGAATTATTTAACTTTTCTCAGCCTCATTTCCTCATCTGAAAAATGCAGCTCTATTTCTTGGACTTGTGTGGGTTAAATAAAATGATACATAGTGTTCCTAGTATAGTCTAGTACTAACTGGCACACATTAGACACTTTCCATCTCTTAATATAAATAAATTCAATATATATAATTTATATTTTTTATTATATAACCATTTCCCAGCATATTTGCCACAATTATTTTGTGACACAAAAGACACAAATGATTTACCAGTAATCTTAGTACTACTGATCACCTGGAAAATTTGACACATATTTACTATGGCCATAAAGTTCTAGAACTTTGACTTGTTTTTATTTTAAAATTAAAGAAATGAAAGAGAGAAATAAAGTACCATATTCAAGAGTTCTATCCACTTCTGATTTAAAGTCAAGCTTTGCTCAGAACAATATTTCTTTATCACCAATTCTTAAGAGGGTCAGAAAGGGATAGTGAAAACAGCCAACTCAAGCTCCCATATATTCCAGTAGTAAAACCTGCCACTTAAGAGAACCCATGTACAGCTTCCATTACCATTCTGTTCAAGCACCTCACAGTTCCTGAGTGATGGTGTCTTTTGAGAAATGGACTGTTCTCTAAGACACTACAAATTGGTAGCGGGCCTAAGATTAGCCTCTTAGTTACTCATCTATTTCTGCCCAACTGGTGTGGATCTGCCCCTAAAAGAATATCAGTCAGTATATCACCTCAAATTAAAGCCACATGGATAAAATGCTGCTAAAAGTTATGAAGCCCAAAAAGACCCCCGCCCCCAAATTTAAAAGGGAAATTCTCCTGATTAAATTAATAGGTCAGTTCTAGGTTGCATTAATTTAAAAGATAAATCAACAGCATAAAAGTTAAACAGCAAAGTTCTTTCCTTGCTTGCTCCTCTTAAACATGACTTATTATTTAAAATATAAACAAATCTCTGTAAGCTATACAACTAATTCAGTTTTAAAAGTGACTACATAAATTGTTTTATTTTGTTCTTGTCAAAAAAGAAAATAGCTGCCTTTTACTAGATCATACAAGATGGATAATAAAAGCTTCAGAGAATATAAGAAGGTATAAGAACAAAAATCACTGTGATTTTCCTATTATACATTACAATCTAATTTTTGCAACTCTACCTTAGTTTATTAGTAGATCTACATCAGTGGTTATTATTCTGGGCAATTTTGTCCCTCAAGGGACATATAGCAATGTAGGAGAGGGGGCGGCATTTTTGGTTGTCACAGATGGAGGAAGCATCTACTGAATAGAGGAGGGCCAGGGATGCTGGAAAACATTACAATACACAGGATAATGTCCCCCACAATAAAGAATTAGCTTGGCTCAAACATCAATAGTGCTAAGATTGAGAAACTCTCATGTACTATTATATTACCATGTAACTGAATATTTCTACTAGCCTATATGTCTTCCTAACTCTTGTCTTATCACTCATTCCCAAACTTACCAGATTGATCTTCCCAAAGCAGTGCTTTCATTACAGAACTAGAGGCCCGGTGCACAAAATTTGTGCACGGGTAGGATCACTAGGCCTGGCCGGCGATCAGGGCCGATCGGGGCCGATCGGGGGCCTTATGGTTGCTGGCCAGGGCCTTTTTTCCCCTGTGCTGCCGGCTGCGGCCTTCCTTCCCCTGGCTGCTAGCTGGGTCCTTCCTTCTCCTGGCTGCTGGCTACCAGCTGGGGCCTTCCTTCGTTCTGCACCGCCTCCTGGTGGTCAACATACGTCACAGCGAGCGGTTGAACTCCCAAAGGGACAATTTGCATATTAGCCTTTTTAAAAAATATATATTTTATTGATTTTTTACAGAGAGGAAGGGAGAGGGATAGAAAGTTAGAAACATTGATGAGAGAGAAACATCAATCAGCTGCCTCCTGCACACTCCCTACTGGGGATGTGCCTGCAACCAAGGTGCACACCCTTGACCGGAATCGAACCTGGGACCCTTGCGTCTGCAAGCTGACGCTCTATCCACTGAGCCAAACCGGTTAGGGCCATATTAGCCTTTAATATATAGGATTCTTCTGTTCAAAAATCTTCAATGGCTATTTATTACAATACATTAAATCTAAACTCCTCAGCCTAGATTTTAAGTTCCCTATAACCTGATTCAACCTCAATAGTAAAACCTAATCTCTTGCTACTCTCAATTTCCATTCTAGCCAAGGCTATATTATACTGTTCCCTAGTTCCTAAATACCACTCTCAACTTTGGGCTTTTGCTCATGCCATTCCATGCCAAAAATGTTCTTCCTCTTCTCTACCAATTCAAACCCTTCCCATCTTCCTAAAGCTTTAAGTTTTACTCCTTCAAGAAAGCTTCCCATTTTTCTGGTCTGCAGTATTTCTTTCTAAATTTCTTTATTATTATCTATACAACCAAACACATACTGACTTACAACATTATCCAATTGTTCCTGCTAAGCATTTTTATCTTCCCACCCTTCAAAAGATTAGAGTTATATCTCCACATTTCTACTGGCTGATTTCACAAGTCTCCAACTAAATTTGTACAAGACAGAATTATTAATTGCCCTCCTTTAAATCGTCCTCTTCCACAAAGGCTTCTCCGTTTATAAATGGCACCACCAAAATGAAATCCAGGCAGCCATCATTACTGCTCCCATCCAATCAATATCTGTATCTAATTGGTTCTAACTCCAAAACATCTGTTGAATTTATCTACCTCTTTCCTACTCCACTGCTACCATTTTAGTCTCTGCTACCTTCATCCTTAGACTGTTTTTACTTTTGCCTCCCTCCTCCCATTACACATCTTAAAGTAGCCAGAGAGATCTTAACATCTACATAAGATCACATCAACCCTCTGCTGAAAATCTTTCAATGATTTCCCATTATCCTTGCAATGAAAATGGCCTTCCATTACTATGCAACTCCAGCCACATCGGCTTTCTTTCAGGTCTTCCAATGCCAAGTTCTGCTATGTCTTAGGGACTCTGCATATACTGTTTTCTCTTAATGCTCTTCAAATCACTGTTTCTTTCTCAGCCTTCAGATCTCAGCTTCAATGTTATTTGTTCAAAAAGGTCTTTTCTGACACTTTGTAAGAAGGTTTTAGAACTTTTTAATATTCTTCTGTGCTTGGCACATAGCAGGTACATAACATTCTCTCCAATTTGATTTTTCATTGAGGCTGCTTCTTAACTTTTTGTCATTTTGCATTACCTCTTTTGGTGGTCCAATTACAAATCTGACACCTGAGCTTGGGCCAGGGCCCTGCTATTATTAGGTTTCTCTCCTAACATCGTATTTTTAATGTCCTTCTTATGACAGTTTGTAATTATTATTTTGTGACTATTTGTCTAATTCATTCTCTCTTAACAGACCATAAACAAAAGGGATATATTAGCACACGAGTCCATAAAGGAATTAAATTATTATGTATTTACAGTGACTTCTTCCTCCACCCCTATTCCCCAAAGCTTAATCTCTCAGTCTAGGTACTATGTAGCACTGTCTTCAGGATACTATATTGCAGTGATGGCGAATCTTTTGAGCTGGGCGTGTCAGCATTTTGAAAAACCCTAACTTAACTCTGGTGCCGTGTCACATATAGAAATTTTTTGATTTTTCTTTTATATATTTAAATGCCATTTAACAAAGAAAAATCAACCAAAAAAATGAGTTCGCCATCACTGCATCGTATCGTTGGACTAAAAAAGGAGCCACATACTAAACCTGACGAGCTCAGGGAAGGCCTGCATGGAGGGCCTTATAAACTCAGAGATTGAAAGTAACTGCATAGGTGCTTGCTTCGACAGCACATATACTAAAATTGGAAGGATACAGAGAAAATTAGCATGGCCCCTGGGCAAGGATGACACGCAAATTTGTGAAGCGTTCCATGTTAAAAAAAAAAAATAAATAAATAAATAAAGTAATTGCATAAGATGACCTGAACATAATAATTCCTAACTAAAAGTTGAGTCATGGTGGGTAGTCACATCCTAGACAAAACTCAATCTTTATCTTAATTTAGCCTATCTTTTTTTGCAGCTAAGATAACATACCCTTGGAATGTCAGAGTAATCCCCTTTTTTCTCAGGTTATAACTCTCACCAGAACATGAAACAACTGAACCCCTTTATTTTTATCTTGTTCCCCAAATACCATCTCTATGTGCCATAAACGTTCTGTTTATCCTATATACCCACCAATGTCAAAGAAGTATGTGACTGTTTCCACTTTACTCAATTTCAAAGATTTCCCTGCTTTGCTTTCTCCTGCCCTCTTCATCTATCACCAATGAATTCCATGTAACCCATGTTCCAGATCCTCCTTTGATATGTTAAGAGTATAAAATAAGCTGTAAAACTGCCATTCTCAGGAACATTTTCTCAATCTGTTGAGATTTTGCTTTCAGGCAATTATCGTCAGTTTGGCTCAAATAAACTCATAAAAATTCTCTACAGGTTTAGATGTTTCTTACATCAACATACCTAAATATAAGGTAATCTACTTTCCAAAAGAAAAATCCATAACAAATGTGTTTCAGTTAACCTAAATATAAAATTTTTGAATGAAGATCAAATGGTCCAATGCCTACTGATTTATCAATTTAGATACAAATATATACTTTTAAAATCACAAAATGTATTTAGAAATTTCACTTTTTTTCCTATTCTCATTGAATAGAATAATTTTACCAAAACTATTCACATATATTATTGACATTAATCAGGCCTTTGGGGAAGGGATGGTGTCATCTAACACAATTTTCCTGAATACACCACTTTCAATGTTATTTGAAATATAGTACTCTGAATCCATGTTAGTTGCTGTCCCTGTATATCTTATCCCAAGCCAAAAGCACTCCTTCACTATATAATGACCTCTAAAACGATATTAGCTATATAGTACCCACTTACTAAACTGCTTAGTAAGGCGATTTTTACAAGGCTTTTTTACAACTTCATCCAACATTCCCGTGAACTGATAAATCTATTAAAATGTCTCTGTGTTTTTTAAAATCAATTTCATCAGGTGAATTTTATAAACATCCAAATTAGCACCAATTGAAGTCAGTTAGGCTTGTGTCTTTCCCAAACATTTATATTAAAAAATGACAGCCCTAGCCAGTTTGGCTCAGTGGGTAGTGTTAACTTGCGGACCAAAGGGTCCCGGGTTTGATTCTGGTCAAGGGCACGTACCTTGGTTGCAAGCTCCTCCCCGCCGGGGCTCCTGTAGGAGGCAACCAATTGATGTGTTTCTCTCACATCGATGTTTCTCTCTGTCCTTCCCTCTCTCTAAAAAATCAATAGAAAAATATCCTTGGGTGAGGATTAACAAAACAAACAAAAAATCAATAAAAACATTTTTTTTTAAAAAAAAGACAAAATTTCTAGCACCAACACCACCCTTGTCCCAAGTCTTTTAACCTGGGTGTTAGCATTATAGAGACCCCTCAGGAGTTCTGGCCACGGACTAACAGCTCCCTCCTCAGCCAGGACCTCTTGGCAAGACTGTAACTAGTGATGTTTGTACAACCAAAGACTCTATTTTGTGGTTTAAGGAAAATAAAATTGACTACATTTCACCTTAAAAAAAAAAAAAAGACAAAATTTCTGCCTCATAATAGGAGAGATTTTTGTAAAGACTTGAGGACCAAAATTTTGCTACCACAAAATATACCCTTTTGTGATACTGATTTTAAGCCGGTTATTAAGAAACAAAAGACTTAGAACCTTTGACTCTCCTCCCTTACCTATTTAAAGGAATTCAGATAGAAAAAGGAAGGGAGCTTCACTTTATCATCACAATATAAACTAAATGTGGCAGAAAGTGAGAAACCTAGCAAAGCCTGTTTGTTGAGCTTCCTTCTGTGTCCCATTGTTTCTGGGTGGCCCAGCAAAAATTTGTTTCACACATGTTTGCTCTTTCTTGCTTACCTGTGAACTGCCTACTTTCCCTTTGAAATCCCAGACCCCTGCCCCCTTCACCTTTGATCAAAATGGCATACACACCTCAATTGTTCAATTCATCTTTGGGTCCCATTCTTGTGGCACCACCCCATGTATACCCACAATAAATTTTGGACATTTTCTTGTTAATATGTCTCATGTTAATTTGATTATTAGCCCACCTAGAAGAACTTGAAAGGTAGAGAGAGGGAAAGTTGGTTTTTTGAACCCCAAAGACAAGTAATACTTTTCTATCAGAAATAATTTGGAGGAGGAGCTATATTTAGGTTCACATGTTTATCAAACTGGCTACCCACATTAAAACTTTAAAGAAAAAAGTCCTGGCCAGTGTGATTCAGTTGGTTGTCCTGTGCACTGGAGGGTGGAGAGCAGGAGGTAACCCATCGCTGTTTCTCTATCTCTCTCCCCTCCCTTCTACTCTTTCTAAAAAAAAAAAAAAAAAAAAAAAAAAAAAACCCTAACCAGTTTGGCTCAGTGGATAGAGCGTCGGCCTGCGGACTGAAAGGCCCAGGTTCGATTCCGGTCAAGGGCATGTACCTTGGTTGTGGGCACATCCCCAGTAGGAGGTGTGCAGGAGGCAGCTGATGGACGTTTCTCTCTCATCGATGCTTCTAACTCTCTATCTCTCTCCCTTCCTCTCTGTAAAATATCACATATTTTAAATAAAATATATTTAAAAATAAAATAAAATAAAAATCAATGGAAAAAATATCCTCAGGTGAGGATTAACAACAACAACAATAATAAACCCCAAAGAGTATTACTGCCACGAATACTTTGAGGACACCCAAGAGGTACTATCTACTAAAAAGCTACAAATTTCTTTTATTCACCATGCTTTTATACAAGTTGAAATTATTAAACAGTGGTTATAAGCTAGCAATACAACTAGTTTATCATTTTAGAAGGCTTTTGGGGCCAGAGGAGGAAAAATGCATCAATTCTTAAGACAAAATTACAAGAATATGAAACAAATTAAACAACTTGAGTGCTCAACTTATCCATTTAAGGTACAGACAGCAACTTCTAATTTCATGTGAGGCCTCAAAAACAAAATCTTAAATGGGACTTTTTACTAGTAAGAGGAATTTGGATGTCAAGAAATAGCTTTAGGCCCTGGCCAGGTGGCTCAGTTGGTTGGATCATTGATGCTATACACCAGAGGTTTCCCGGTCAATTCCTGCTGAGGGCACAAACCCAGGTTTCCAGTGCCATCACCAGTGGGGGCGTGTATGGGAGGCAACCAATTGATGTTTCTCTCTCTCCCTTCCTCTCTAAAAATAAAAAAATCAATAAAAACATATACTCCCTGGGGTAAGGATTAGAAAAAAGAGCCCTAGCCAGGTGCTCAATGGTTAGAGCCTCGGCCCAGGGACCGAAGGGTCATGGGTTCAATTCTGGTCAAGGGCAGTACCTCGGGGGCAGGCTCATCCCAGCCAGGGCACTTGCAGGAGACAACCCATTGATTTGTCTCTCTCACATGATGTTTCTCTCTCTCTGTCCCTCCCTTCCACTCTCTCTAAAAATCAATGGAAAAAAATATCCTCCAGTGAGGATTAACAACAACAACAACAAAAGAAAAAAACTTTGGAAGCACTGGCACAACTTATAAACAGAGAAAACTTCCTAAAATAAAATCCCACATTAGATTAATTCAAACAGTAATCGCTGCTCTATGGAAAGAGCTGGAGAAGCCAACGAGGAGAAACGGGTATTTTATCCTTTGAAGGAAAAAAAAAATCAAGGAAATATGAAAGTCGTGATGTATTAAAATATTTACTCTTTAGCTATCACAAGCCCATTAAGGGTCATATGAATTAATTTCTAGAATCGGCTGGCTTTAGAACTTCAAAGTAAACACTGTCCACGACTCAAAGACAGCAGTTGACAGGTCAACGCTTCTGACCCGGTCAAGATCAGGTGGCCGCTGAAAGCCTCCCAGGCCGGCCCATCGCCAAGGGGCGGGGGACTCGGTTTCCCCGGGTGGCAGGGGGGGTGCGGTGGCCCTGCCTCGCACACCCAAGTCCCACAGGATTTCCTCCCTGCCCTCGGCATGCCCTGGTGCGGCAAGGAGTGTGAAATGGTGGGAATGCCATTACCTATCTGCCTTTCATTTCCCGATCTCCATCAGAGGCCACGGGAAAAACTCCCATCTCCCGTCCCCCCACCCTCCTCCTCCCCTAGTGCAGGTGCTTGCCCCTCAGCCCTGGGCCTTGGAGTTCTCTTCCGAGATCACGGTTCAGTGGGGGAAATTCACTGCGAGGAAAGCAATGCGGGCTAGTACGTCTGCTACCAAAATAGAAATTAGTATTAAAAATACCGACCCGACCCTCCTCCCTCTACCTTCTCACGGAAAACAAGAATAAAACCCACCCTCACCCCCCGCGAAGTTGCCCCCCTCCATTATGAAGACCTTACACGCTCTGATCCAATGTGCGTCCCAATCACCCCTCAGGTCACAGAGCACCTGGCGCCAGCTTTCGCCCCCACGCTCCGAGGTCTCCCCCGAGCCGCGGCCAGGCCCCTGCACTGACAGGAGGGGCTCGCAGCCGGACGTCGGCTCGGAGGAGAAGGGAGGTAGTATCGCCAAACGCCGCTCACACTAGGGAGAGAAGTAACGTCGGGCCGAGAGGTAACGCGGCTTCGGTCGCGGGCAAGGCCTCTGAACTGACGAGAAGACCCGCAGGACCCGGCGTAAGGGGAGGCGGGAGAAGAGCCCGGCCTAGGCCGCACCAGGCCGCGGAGTGGCCGTACGCGGCTTCCCGACTGGGGCCGCGAGCCAAGCCTGAGAGAAAAGAGTTATCATTACCTGGACGGGTTCCTGCAGCACCGTCATCCTTGAGGCTCAGGCCCACTTTCTGCAGTGCCTCAGGCCCCCCCCGCAGTGGCTCCGGCCCGGCCAGCCCCGGCTCATTTAAACTCACCAGCGACCGTTACCGGGGGATGGGGGCGGCCGAGCGATTGCCGAGCACCTCCGAGCGGGTCACGGAAACACCCGAAGTGGAGAGACCCGCGCGGGAGCCAGACGAAAAAGCCCGAGAGAGGCCGGAAATACCCGCGGTGAATCGGCGGAGGAGGAGACCGTTGCCGGAAATTGTCGAGGGTGACCGGAAACTACCGAGTCTGACCCAGCGCATAGGTTCCTCTTCTCGGCCACGCCTTTACTCACGCACGCCACGCCCAATCGGCCACCCAAGGCTGGGCCACGCCCAAACGGCAATCACCGGGCTGGGCCAGAGGTGCCTGAGCGGGCGGGGAGCGTTACGAGGCCTTGCTGCCTTCGCGATTCGCCCCGCAGCCTTTCTGTATTAATTGGTACTTGATAGATTAAGCAAAGGGTAAAACTCGAGAGTTTGGGGCTGACTTTCATTAATCAAGATTAGGTCATTCATTCATTCATTCATTCATTCATTCATTCATTCCAGAAGTCCCGGTTCAGGGCTCAGACGGAAATAGGAAATTTGGAAGGATTGCCACCCTCCAAAGTTTTAGTATGGCCCTGTTCTCAAAGTGATTACAGTCTCTTTTAGGGAAGACCAGTGTGACAAAGTGCTACATTAGGTGGGACCCATTATAAGTGATGTAAGAATTCAGAAGAGAGGAAAATTAACTGAGATTAAGATGAGAAATGTTTCATGGAAGGAAAAAGGGAGACAGACTGTGCTTTGAAGGATGGTTAGAATTAGAAGAAAAGAGAATGTGCATGAAGGGAAACAGAAATGAGATCAGTCTGGTAAGAGTTAAGGCATTAACTGGAAATATTTACTTAGGTGACCAGATCTTGGAAAATCTCAGAAGGCAGGCAGAAATTTTTTTTTCTTCTTAAAAAATATGGAACCCTTCACGAATTTTCGTGTCATCCTTGCGCAGGGGCCACGCTAATCTTCTCTATATCGTTCCAACTTTAGTACATGTGCTGCAGAAGTGAGCACAGAATTTTTTTTGTCTTAATTGGGGAAGCATTCTGGTGTATGGGAAAGAGTGTGGAATTGGAAATCCAGAGGCCTCATTTTGAATGTAATCTCTGGCACTAACTAGTTTTGGGTCTTTTAGGCAAGTTATAGTGTCTCTGAATTTTTATTTCCTTGGTCTGAAAAAATGATTAAGAGAATTAAATGCATATGTATGTGGTTGTATTTATTTATTTATTTTTATTTTTTATTTTTTTTAAATATATTTTATTGATTTTTTACAGAGAAGAAGGGAGAGAGATAGAGAGTTAGAAACATCGATGAGAGAGAAACATCGATCAGCTGCCTCCTGCACATCTCCTACTGGGGATGTGCCCGCAACCCAGGTACATGCCCTTGACCGGAATCGAACCTGGGACCTTTCAGTCTGCAGGCCGATGCTCTATCCACTGAGCCAAACCGGTTTCGGCTATGTGGTTGTATTTAACTCACATAGTAGACTCTCTCAAAATTACTTCCCCCCAAAATGTGTGAACCAGAGGAGTATTAAACTTTGTTTTTCAGTAGATGAGGAAAAATGGTTTTTGTTGATTACTTTTCTAGTTAGAATATCTCTAGACTAGATGGGGTACTCACAGTGTATTCCACTGGTTGGAAATTTCCCTTTTGGTTCTCAGGTTTTATGTAAATGAAATCAAATTAGAATGGTCACTGCCTTCCTTCCTTTGGGTAATGTTGGAGGGAGGTCTTTTTAATTTTTTATTTATTTTTTAAAAAATACTTTTTATTTTATTGATTTTTTACAGAGAGGAAGGGACAGGGATAGAGAGTTAGAAACATCTATCAGCTGCCTCCTGCACACCTCCTACTGGGGATGTGCCTGCAACCAAGGTACATGGCCTTGACCAGAATCGAACCTGGGACCTTTCAGTCTGCAGGCCTACTCTCTATCCACTGAGCCAAACCGGTTAGGGCAAGAGATATCACTCTTAAAGTTTGATGAATTTAACTGAACGCAACACTCCAGATTTATTCTAATTAATTCAGCATGCAGTAGGACTATTGCTTTTATTATCCAGACGCTTCTATTAAAGTAGACTAAAGTTGTATTTACATTTTTTAGCAGTTACATGATACTTTGCTCATGCTAAGCTTGTGTTCATTTTACAAACACAGCTCTTTTCCACACAATATGCTGCCAAACCAAGTCTTGTACTTGTGCAATGGATTCTTGTAAACTTAAATGTAGGAACTTACAACACAGAATACACATAACGATGATATTTTTGTGTGAAAATGTGTATCTAGAGAGTCAGCATTTGAAGAGTCTGTGATGCTTGGCACTCTGGCTCTTAAGCTTAGACTTTGCTTAAAGCTTCCCTCCCACCCCCCTAAAAAATGGCATCTCTTTTCTGGCTGTTGTTCACTGGGCTAATACATCTGTTGCGGTTTTCTACTCATCCGCAGCAAGACCACATTGTTGGAAGCTGTGCTTTGATGCAATGTTTTAGAGAATTTTTACTTCTTTTCTCTGTTCCTGATTGACCTACTTAAACTCACAATCCAGCAAGCACTTGGGCATCCTGCTGCCATCCATTATCCACATATGTTTATCTAGAGCAGCGGTTCTCAACCTGTGGGTCGCGACCCCTTTGGGGGTCGAATGACCCTTTCACAGGGGTCGCCTAAGACCATCGGAAAACACATATATAATTACATATTGTTTTTGTGATTAATCACTATGCTTTCATTATGTTCAATTTATAACCATGAAAATACATCCTGCATATCAGATATTTACATTACGATTCATAACAGTAGCAAAATTACAGTTATGAAGTAGCAACGAAAGTAACTTTATGGTTGGGGGTCACCACAACATGAGGAACTGTATTAAAGGGTCGCGGCATTAGGAAGGTTGAGAACCACTGATCTAGATGTGGAGTTGGGTTACAATAAGCATCATTCCAAATGTGGTAAATTATCTTTTCTTCTTAGCCTGCCTCTTGGCTCGTTTCATGTACGATCAGTTGGAGACCAGCATTTAGGATACTATTCAAGAAGCCAGACATGGTATCTTTGCCAAGATGCAGGTACCACTGAAATACAGCCCAGTGTAGGCTTACTCTTCTGAATTCCTTCTGTCCTCTTTATCTGTGCCCGTCTTTCTTTCTTTCTTTTTTCCTGTGCCCCCCCTTTTTTTTATCCCTGTTGCATGATGCCTTTTATCCTCCTTATATTACCTGACCTTGAGTCTCTTTCCTCCCCATGTTTGCTGTTCCAGGATGTATTCTCCACATTTAGTATAGTACCTAGTACATAATAGGTACTCATTCTGATTATTTAATGAATGAAAGGAATAAACTCCTTCTATTCCTATAATTAATTTTTATTTATTCATTGATATTACATACTTAATATTTGTAACCCTTCAAAAATCATATGTTGAAGCCCTAATCCTTATCATGGCTGTATTAAGGAAATAATTAAGGTTAATGAGGTCAGAAGGGTGAGGCCCTGATCCAACAGGATTAGTGTTCTTATAATTAGAAGAGACACCAGAGAACTCACTCTCTTTCTCTACCACCCTCCCCTATGCACATGCCCTGAGGAAAGGGTCATATGAGGACATAGTGAGAAAGTATATACAAGTCAGGAAGAGGGCTCTCACCAGAAACCAAATTTGCTAGCACCTGGATCATGGATTTCTAGTGTCTAAAACTGTGAGAAAACAAATTTCTGGGTTTCAGCTGCCCAGGCTGTGGTATTTTGTTTTAGCATACTGAGAAGATTGATACCATTGATTATTCTATTTATGTATTGTCTTTTAAGGGAAAGCCAAGTAATATATCTCCTCTTGTTCTTTGAAAAGCATTACATTTAGTAGATGCTTAAAAAATATTGCCGGAGTGATTAAAGTGGAAGTCTTTACACACAATAGTTCTTCCTAAAATACTTTTCCCTTACATTTTATATATTTTTATTGATTTCAAAGAGGAAGGGAGAGGGAGAGAGAGATAGAAACATCAATGATGAGAGAGAATCATCAATCAGCTGCCTCCTGCACGCCCCACACTGGGGTTGGAGCCTGCAACCTGGGCATGTTCCCCGCCAGGAATGGAACCGTGGACCTCCTGGTTCATAGGCCGATGCTTAGCCACTGAGCCACGCTGGCTGGGCTCCCCTTACTTTTTAACTATTTTTAACTATTTTTAACAATTTTTAACTAGCTAAATTCTAATCCTTCAGGCCTCAGCTTTAATATCATATCCTCAGAATATCCCCTATTCTACCTAATCTAAATTATTAGCTCCACCTTACAATTCTCTCTCACCACATCTTTGTTATTTTCCTTTAGGGTATACATGGTAGTTTTAATTATATTTGTTTAATATAAGTTCCACAAAGGCAGGGACTGTGGCTCACCCTGATGTTCTCATCACCTAGCATGGTGCCCTGCACAAATATAAGCAATATTAAAATATTATAAATATATCTGATTATTAAATGACTTTACCACTTAATTTTATCTCTTATGCCTTTATGAATACCCCTTTCTGCATCTAGAAACATTCTGGCCTTGAACATGAGTCCTTAGGGGAATTAAAGTCAAGGTAGCCCTGGCTAGTGTGGCTCAGTGGTTGAGCATCAACTATGAACCAGGAGGTCACGGTTCCATTCCCAGTCAGGGCACATGCCCAAGTTTCAGGCTTGATCCTCAGTGTGGGGTGTGCAGGAGGCAGTCAATCAATGATTCTTTCTCATCATTGATGTTTCTCTCTCTTTTTCTCCCATCCTTTCTGAATTAAACACACACACACACACACACACACACACACACACACACACACAAAAAAAAAAAAAACCAAAAAAAACAGGGGAAAAGATAAACTATAAGCCAATTAGCTTGCTTGGGGTGAAGGCTGTATAAGCTTGGTTGAAATGGTGGTGTTGGGGATAGTTGATAACCTTTGGGTTCCAGGCTGATGACTTTAGATTTTATAAAATAGACCTACAGAGCTGCTGGTGGTGATTGAGCTGCTCATGAGAATGGAATTTGAGAAAGATTATGCTGACAGCTGAGGATTATGTGAATTGGAGGTAACAATAGGGACCTGGAATGCAGCAGAGACTGCTAGGGAGTCTAGGCAGCTATAAATTTCTATTATT